GGAGAGGTAGAGGTAGTAAAGGGTTTTAAGCAGGAAAAATGTGGCGAAAAGCGGTGCCTTAACGTGTAAAGAAGGCAGAAAAGCCAAGAGCATGCGGCCAGCCTCACACCGAAATCAAGCCCAAATGAACACATACCCGACGAGTAAGGACGAGGTATGGACTTACGCGGGCTGGAATGCCGGGTGCTGGGTTTTAAGGTCTAGAGTCACTCCCACGACCTTAAACAAAGAACACCCTAGAAAACTGAAACAACGGCTCGCAGTAAGACACTCACCAAGCTAACTCCACCTGCGTGATAGCGGAAAGAGTGGCTGAGAGGAGGAGGCGGGACTTCCGGAGTCGGAGACTGGGCGGAGCGTCGCCGCTGGGGCGGAAGGAGGCGGGGGCCCAGGAGAGCCCGGCGCTGAAGGCGCTTTCCCTTACCGTTACCTGCTTATCCTAAGTGACTATCTGTAACAGTTTTACGGTAAAAGCTAAAATTCTGTGGGCCAGTTACTTTACAAGTAAAAATTGTCCCCCCTTCGCGAGTGGAGGAGACAGGATTGGGAATTTGGGATTTATTGTTCTGCCTCTTAGGAGCACTCCAGGCTCTCTTGTCCTCCTCTATCTCCTGCATTTTGTTCAGTTTCACGTACACTGAGTTAGTGATGCTATCTAANTGTCCCCCCTTCGCGAGTGGAGGAGACAGGATTGGGAATTTGGGATTTATTGTTCTGCCTCTTAGGAGCACTCCAGGCTCTCTTGTCCTCCTCTATCTCCTGCATTTTGTTCAGTTTCACGTACACTGAGTTAGTGATGCTATCTAACCATCTCATCCTCTGCCCGGCCCCGTTCTCCTTTTGCCTTCAACCTTATACAGTATTCTGTTACAACATATTGGAGGGACGATGGTTAAGACTCCATGCTGACAATGCGGGGAGCGGCAGGTAGGATCGTTTGTCAGGGTAGTAGATCTCACATGCCCCAGTTAAAGAGTTCAGATGCCACAACTAAAACTCTCTCAGGCTGGTAGGAAGAGGGAAGATCCCATATACCACAACCAAGACCTGGTGAAGCCAAATAAGTATTTTTTTTTTTAAGCTACCGGTTTTTCAATTAAACTTAAAAAATATAATGGAAAAAAATACAAAAAGTTATATGTATATATATATTCTATTCTATACATTATACACTATTCTATATAATAATGTGTAGTTATATAACATACATAATATGTATATTATATAATACATATTGTTACTGCTGTACAGCAAGCAGAAGTCAACACCAGGTTGTAAATCAACCACACTTAAATAAAAGAAAAAAAAAACCAGAAAACTATTCTCTCTCAGAAAAAGATTATTATTTAGTGACAGAAGCAAAATGGAGGATTTCAGGGAAAAAAAAAAAATTTAGGTGATCTGTGTGACTTCTGGGATCTTAGTTCCCAGATGAGGGACTGAGGGACTTCCCTGATGGCCCAGTGATTAGGGCTCTGCTCTTCCATTGCTAGGGGCAAGGAAAAAAGCAAATTGATGCTTCTGAACTGTGGTGTTGGAGAAGACTCTTGAGAGTCCCTTGGACTGCAAGGAGATCCAACCAGTCCATCCTAAAGGAGATCATCCTGGGTGTTCATTGGAAGGACTGATGTTGAAGCTGAAACTCCAATACTCTGGCCACCTGATTCAAAGAGCTGACTCATTTGAAAAGACCCTGATGCTGGGAAAGATTGAAGGCAGAAGGGGACGACAGAGGAGGAGATGGTTGGATGGCATCACCGACTCAACGGACATGAGTTTGGGTGGACTCTGGGAGTGGGTGATGGACAGGGAGGCCTGGCGTGCTGTAGTTCATCAGGTTGCAAGAGTTGGACACGACTGAGCGACTGAACTGAACATATACACACAGGATTCTGGCACTTTGTATTACATTTTTCTTTCACAATCAAAAACTGCCCTCTCTTTATTTCAAAGAGCAAGACTAATTTTTCATTAATCACATGTATAGAACAGCTATTCCCAAGCAATGCAGAATGTCACCGACTTTCCATGTGTATTGTTGCTACCACATAATCACTATTAGCTTCTCACTTTCTTCCCATGTAAAGTTCAGTCCATTAAGGTCCTGCTGATCTGTTCATAGTGATTGGCAAATGCTTCTGTCTAATGATTCATTGTGACACCCTTTGGAGATAAATAAGCATGGCTAGTCATGTCACATTTTTATATTACTTCTTGTCCCTCTCTGATGCTAATTCATACAGTATTCAATTGGATAATTTAAGATCCTTCCTTTTCTAGGAAATAAGGATATGCATCAACCACACTAAATGAAGTCAGCCCCCTCTTTTTATTTCTTCTCAGACAATCATAAAGAGCTGTAATGAACTCATAAGATCAACAGTCTTCAAACTTCAGGTGGAAAGGTATAAACAGTTCAAAAAGACACTGGTAATTACATATTTATACAGATAATGGGCCATTTCCACATACATCCTTTCTCTCATATAGCAAATATATCATTAGTTTTAACATATTGTCACTTGCAATGATTCTGCAGTGTAATAACCTCAGACTAATCTCGGAGAAATGGGCTCTTCCTGATAGCTCAGTAGTAGAGAATCTGCCTGCAACGCAAGAGACACAGGTGCAATCCCTGGGTCAGGAAGACCCCCTGGAGGAGAAAATGGTAACCCACTCCAGTATTCTTGCCTGGGAAATCCCATGGATAAAGAAACCTCGAGGGATACAGTACAAGGGGTCACAAGAGCCAAGACACAACTCAGTGATTAAACCACCACCACCACAATCTTGGAGAAATAACTTATTTACCAACATCATCACACTTGAAAGGATTCTCTGCAATGTAAGTTCAGTGAATGCTGAGGATGCACTGGTTTCCATGATCGGTCAATTTCTAGTTTCTGAGATGTATAGGTGCACTTATTACACAAAAGGTGTGGATACCAGATGAAAATTTTTACAATACTCATTACATTTGAAAAATTCCTCTCCAGAGTAAGTCCTGTGTTTCAGAGTGTCTGTCTTCTTGTACAAGCCTTAGCACAAGAAAAAAAAAAAGCCTTAGCACAGGTATTGCTTTGTGTGGTTTCTATGAAAGATGTATATTGAAATGTCTAGTGCATTGTGAGACCTGCATTGAGCCTCTACTCATGGATTTGAAGTGTTTCTCTTCAATGGACTCTCTGATCTTGCCTTATTCTTGAACTCAACGTAACAATGTCTTTTTTTTAATTAAAATTTTTTTTTTATTTTTTATTTTTGGCTGTGCTGAATCTTTGTTGCTGCACAGGATTTTCTTTGGTTGCAACGAGTGGGGGCTACCCTTGAGTTGCGGTATGCAGGCCTCTCTTGTTGCAAGGAGCACAGGCTCTAGGGTGTGCGGGCTTCAGTAGTTGCAGCGCACAGGCTCAACAGTTGTAGCACATGGGCTTAGTTGCTCTGCAGCATGTGGGATCTTCCTGATCAGGGATTGAACCCATGTTTACTGCACTGACAGGCATATCCATTACCACTGAGCCACTAGGGAAGCCCTGTGTCCCATTTTCTGACCTTTGGGTAAAATCCTTGCCACACACATTTCCATGTCTTCTCTCCAGGATATGTATGCTGCTATCTAGTGATGAGGGAGTCATAATGTGAAATTTTGCCACAGTCATTGCATTTTAAAGGATGATGTATTTGGTGATTCGGATGTTTAAGAAACAACCTAAAAGCTTTGCAAAATTCAATACACTTGTAATGTTCTGTGCAGTGCAGATTACTTGATTATTGGTGAAAAGTGAGACCCAAGTAAGAGTTTTTCTAGTGTTCACCCCAACTGTGAGGTAATTTTGAGAATGAATTTTTTTTTTTCTGACACATTGTCTTCTTTTATTCAAATAGCAGTCTGCTCACACATAGTCCAAGAACACTTGAATAATAAAGCAAATATAATCACATGTTAAAAATTGGTCTTCAAACATCATAGCCTATGATGCCACACTTGCCTATGATCTCGCCAACATAAAACGACATCCACACCTCAGTGGCCACCAAACCATTCAGTAGAGCTTCCTTAACAGTGAGCTGTTTGAAGCTACCGGTTTTAGCACTGTTGATAATTTTTTCAAGCTCTGAATTGCTGTAGGGTTATCAGCAGGGGTTGGAGGAACCAGCTCAACCTTGGCATAGTACCAAAACGTGGCCAATTGAAGCTTCAAGTAAGTCACAGCAGCGTTGACCAGCACCGGGGCCTTCCCCGCGAGGTTACGGACAAACTGGGCCATGGTACTAGGACGGAGAGCCCGTCGCCCCGACTCCAATTTAAATTTTAAGAAATGAATATGTGACCACTCTCCAGAAGAACTAATCAGATGAATGGCAGGCCACGTGTCATGCTGAACACACTTCCTTACATGCCCCATCATCTTGTTGATAGACTGTTTGCTTCTTGACAAAAAGGGCTAAACACCAGCTGACTTCTTCAAGATTCCTTGGAGCTGATCTGTTGTTGTTTAGTTGCTAAGTTGTGTCTGACTTTATTGCAACCCTGTAGACTGAAGCTGGTCAGATTCCTCTGTCCATGGGATTTCCCAGGCAGGAATACTGGAGTTGACTGGCCCCCCGAAATCTCTGTATGAATACGTCTGATGCTTCCTTTCAAGTCGATCAACATTAGATATCACCAACTTCATCAAAATATCCTTATAATGATAGCCTACAATCACATGGATAAATCCCTTTATTTACTTATAATAAGGTAAAATGATGACATATTAATTTGTAGAGAAGTTGCTGATCTACCTGACTTCCTTTTGCATCTGGCCTGTAACCCACATCATGCAAACTTTCCATTCTGTCTTCATCCTCTCCAGGTTTCTCTTTAGTGCCTAAATACTGAGGACCTTCAAGGGAAAATAAGTGAAGAGGCAACAGGGGAGAAGAACTAGGCCTTTTAATTTGGGGGTTCTCATTTATAACAGTTTGGACTGCCCTGGCATTTAGGGACTCTGTGGGTTTTAGCCCAGAAAANGGAAGGACTTCCCACACTCATTACATTTATAAGGTTTCTCATCAGTATGATTTCTCTGATGAAACACAAGGGTTGCCTCTTCCCTAAAGACCCTGCCACACTCATTACATCTGTAGGGTTTCTCTCCAGAATGAATTCTCTGATGACATGTAAGGGTTGCTTTTTGACTAAAGAACTTGCCACACTCATTGCATTTGTAAGGTTTCTCTCTAGTGTGAATTTTCAAGTGATTTGTAAGGTGTGTTTTTTGACCAAAGAGCTTGCCACACTCATTATATCTGTGAGGTTTTTCTCCAGTATGAATTCTCTGATGATCTGCAAGGTGTGAATTTTGACTAAAGACTTTTTCACATACATCACATATATGTAGTTTCTCCTCTGTATGGACGACCTGATGTCTACTGAGGTTTGATCTCTGAAGAAAGATTTTGCCATCTTCACCACATTTGTAAAGTCTTTCCCTCTGTGCTTCCTGGTTTTGTGTCACTATTAAAGGATGCATGTAATTACTCCAATATATATCAGAAACATTCATTTCTACACTAGAAGAAATTCTTTGAAGCAGTGAAAATGGGGCACAACTGTTGAGAATCTTGTCAGCTTGAATGAATTTATCAGTTTTGTCTTCACTTTTAAAAATATGCAGTTCATTCTGAAAGCTTAAGGCAAGCCAATTTTCAATAGGCTTGATGCTGGAAACACTTTCATCATGTTGATCTTTATTATCAGTTAGATTTTCATTATGGGTTATAAGCATTCCTTTGTAATTTTCTTCCTCATCTTTCTGCTTAGACTGAAAGTCATATATATTTTCCTGAATGACCCTAAGGTAAGAAAGGTCCATTTCATTCCTTTCAGGTCTTCCCAGTATCCATGACTTGAATACCTCTCCTCTATCAGAGTTTGTTTTCAGTTGTAATTTCTTGATCACAGGTTTGTAAAAGATATCTACAAGATATAACAAACCATATATAGTCAATTCATTTAAATTTATAAATAAATGTTTGTTAAATGCACAGCATTATACCAGAAGTAATACTATGTCAAGCAGTTATGAAGCTCCCTAACCATGACCATAGAATTTGTAGCAATAAGAAAGTAATGATTCTTTACTATAATGAAAGGGATCAGAGGTAATTCTAATAATTTTAGGGCACCCTAGTTTCAAATAACTTTATCACAAAAACAGGCATATTGGAAAAACTTCCATTATATATTAAACAAAGTGTACTTTTCAACCATTAACATCAAAGCGCATACCAATTACATGTAAACATTATGGTCTTCTTTAAGTAAAGCGAAAAGAATATTAAACCATATATATATATATATATATATTCTGCCTAATTATTACACATGAATAAGTGAAAAAGAACATAAAGTATATTCTAAGACTAAATAATCCAAAACTAGATTATCTAATGAATACCCTAAATGAGTGGTGGTTCAGAATTGAGAAAGAAATACAGCACTGTGAAAATGAAGAATTTGATAAAACAGCTTTTGAAAACGCTAAATATTTTTTCTAAGTACCTTGCATATATCTGATACCCACGAAGTAGCATAAAACATTCTGAAAGCCATCATCTGTAAATCAAAATTAAATAAATTAAATGTGAACAAATGAAACATTCTTTAGTTATATGAAGAGCCAGTAAATAGAGCAATTCCGCACATATGCAGGAAGTTTAAATATATAGTTTATTGGCTCCAAATTATATGTAATGAAGAATGAGCAACATGTCAATTTATTTAATTAGGTTCAGACATAATATTGTTAAAAAGCTTCCCAGATGGCTCAATGGCAAAGAATTCGCCTGCCAATGCAGGAGAAACAGGAGACATGGGTTTGATTGCTGGGTTGGGAAGATCTCCTGGAGGAGGAAATGGCAACCCACTCCAGCATCCTTGGCTGGAGAATCCCATGGACAGAGGAGTCTGGTGGGATACAGTCTAGGGAGCCACAAAGACAGGGACATGATTGAGCAACTGAGCATGCATGCACAATATTGCTACAAACAAATGGCAAAAGAAAGAGATACAAGACATAAGGCAGACAAAGTGATACTATAATAAATTTAACAGGATACTGATTTTTTTTTTCATATAAAAGTAACTTTTGAGTCTTTAAAAACACACTATGCTCAGCCATCTAATTCTACTTATTCATTTTTAAAGGCATGCGGAAGATGATCATAATTCTTCAAGTAAGAGAAGTGATTCAGGGCTTTACATACATGACCTCAGTTGACGAACAGTCAGAGAAAGAAGGTGTGAATCTGAACCTACAGACAGACAAAATATTCTTTTTTTTTCAGGCTGCACCACATGACTTCCAGGATCTTAGTTCCCTGACCAGGGATTGAACCAGGGGCATTGGCAGTCAAACTGCAGAATTCTTACCACTGGACTGCCAGAGAATTCCCAAGACAACATATTATTAGCATGACTCCCCTTCCGAGCAGTCCACCAGACTAAGGTATCAAGGCAATTCAGTGAAGAAACGATTTTGAAAAACTGGTGCCTATCAAAAGAATGTTCACAGTGGGAAAAGAAAAGGATCTGCATCTGAACTTTACATGTGTACAAATAATAGCTCCAATTTAAAAGTTTTGCCTATTATGAAAAATCTTCTATTGAACATTTTGTACAAGATGTTTATATGGATGTTTTCAAATCTCTTGGGTATACCTATAAAAGCAAAATTGCTGGGTGTGATATTGTCATTTATAAGAAACAGGGATGTGGTCATCCAGATGAGAAACTCATTAATTCCACTCACACCTTATTTGGCTAAACTCATCTTCATTAAGGCCTTACCTTGATGGAAGGATACTGAGAAATAAGGGGAACCCATGGCTATGGGTGCATAAAGAATTCTAGAACCACAATGGCAAAAAAACCCAAACAAACTAAATTAGAAAATGGGCAAAATGAGAAAGACTTTTCACTAAAGCCGGAATACAGAGTAAAAGTTGGAAAAAGAAAATATTTTCAACATCACTAACCAGCAAGTGTGGGACCTTCACATTTTCTGTTTCCTCCATGTACACCCGTTACTAACTTTAGAATTCATAGAAAACTAAGAGTCTCTACTACCCACTGGAGATGATCATTACAAACTTGTAATTGTGGAAAGTGGCAACTGGGAACAAAGGTTTTCTAAACCATTCTCAGCGCACCAAGTGTGCGCCGTCACTGCACTAGAGTTGAACTTATATTACATTTCCAGGAGATGGCATATCAAAATCACAAAACGTATCTCAGAGACAGGCTATCTCCCTCCCAGCCAATAGTTCCGGTAGCAGGAAGGCATCAGATAAGTACTTTGCTGAAGCAAAAGAGTCTGTAAGGGGAAAAACGAGTAAATGCTCACATCTCAAACATGCATGTCTCCTGGATCAAGACCAACACACTGGCAAAGACAAGGAGGAATGATTCTGAAAACCGCACAGAGACTATGCAGGGAAGCTACAGGTCCTGAACACCACAATAACCCCTGACAACTACTACTATAATTTCATGGATGCTCGCTGATGGTGGTTGTGGATTTATCTATGTAGCATTTAATCTGACGGGAAATTTATCTATGATTTCATGTCAGTCCCCACAGCCCCGTGCTCTGCCTCTTGCTACACTATGATCAACAGAAATTTCTACACATAAGAAAGAAGTGATTTGCTGTGGCTTTTCTAGAATCATCGTTCTTTATCTTGTTAAGGACTGAGGACACAACGGAGAGGTCGAGGAAAACATTTCAGAAACTTACCCTCCTGCTGGCCTCCTTCAGAATACACAGGGAACAGTATACAATGCAGAAATGTAGCTCAATTTCTAGAATGGCTAACTCAAAACACACATGAGTAGAAAACAGGACAGTGGGATTGTTAAAAGTTTGTCACTGAGCTTTAAATATAGAGTGAGTTCTGAAATAACTGTATCATGAAGTGGGAAGAATTTTTGAGGAAGTTAGGTTTAAGTTCCTGATGCCACATCCTGAAGCTTTTCATGTCTGAGCCAACAGGGCTTTGAGTCAGTCAAGCAAGGCAGGGGTTCCCAGGAGGCAAAGAGGGGAAATGCAGAGATACCCTAAAACAGATCCCCACTTCAAAGGGAAGTGATCCTCACCCACAGAGAGCAGGTTCCTGTAGGTCTCCAGCATCACGTCCCTGTACAAAGTCCTCTGAGCAGGGTTCAGGCATTCCCACTCTTCCTGAGAGAACTCTATGTTCACATCAGTGAATGTCAACGATCCCTGAAATGAAAATGTATTTCACCAAGGGGCTCTAAGGAGAGTTCTTATTCTCATGGAAAATGAGAAGAGGAAAGAGGGATAAGGATCAATTCAGTTGCAGTATGTATTCTGACAGATCTATGCGAAGGGATATGGAGCAAATTGTGTGTCTCTAATTTTAATTCCTCATACTTTTTCACATAATTATAATGTCCTCCAATCAATGTGGATTTTTCATACTTGTAGACAACACATGAAATACACAGAAATAAAAGCCAGCCATGGGTGGTCTAGGCTGAAGTGTTATGTAACATCTGAATGAAAACAAACATACCAAAAATACAACATACCAAAACTGATGATATGCACTCAGAGCTGTACTAAAGGGGAAGTCCACATTGCTAAGAGCTTACAAGTAGTAGAAAGAGGCACGCTCGACACTACTGTTCAAGACACTAATGAACATCTCTGCCAAAGACATTAGACAAGAAAAAATTCAAAGTTATCCCTGTACAAAAAAAATTCAAAGTTATCCCTGTACAAAGTCAATAGTAAAATTACCTGTTTCTGTAGGTGCCAAGGTTTTACATGTAGAAACCAAAAAGATTCCAAGATAAAACTACTACCTTAAAAAACAACTTTAGAAAAGTCACAGCCAAAAAAAAAAAAAGAGCACACAAAAATCAATTGCATTTCTATACACAACAAACAATGCCAACAGAAAATTAGAGAACAATCCTATTTACTATGGGCTTCCCTGATAGCTTAGTTGGTAAAGAATCCGCCTGCAATGCAGAAGACCCCAGTTTGATTCCTGGGTCCAGAAGATCTGCTGGAGAAGGGACAGGCTACCCACTCCAGTGTTCTTGGGCTTCCCTTGTGGCTCAGCTGGCATACAATCTGCCTGCAATGAGGGAGACCTGGATTTGATCCCGGCGTTGGGAAGATCCCCTGGAGAAGGGAAAGGCTACCCACTCCAGTATTCTGGCCTGGAGAATTCTATATTCCAGTCTATGGCCTGGACTATACAGTCCATGGGGTCGCAAAGAGTCAGACACAACTAAGCAACTTTCACTTCACTTCACTTCCTATTTACTATAGCATCAAAAGGGGTAGAATACCTAGAAACAAATGAATCAAGGAGGTGAGACTTGTACATTGAAAACTAGTAAATGTTCTGAAAGAAGTCCATGGAAATAGAAAAATAAAAAGACAGCCATGCTCATGGATTCGAAGATGTAATATTCTAGAACACATTACCAAAGTGTTCGAGAGATTCAATGAAATCTATATCAAAATTTCAATGGCAATTTTTGCAGTAACAGAAAACAAAAATCATGCTAAAGTTCATAGGAAATCTCAAGGGATCCCAAAGGACCAAAATACTCTTGAAAAAGATGATGGAGGCCATCATTGTGAGACTTCAAGACATATTAAAAAGTAATCAAGATGATGTGGTATTGGCATAAACAAAGATACATCAGCCAATGAAGCAGATTAGAGTACCAGAAATAGGAAATATTATGTCAGTCCAGTGGTTAGAACTCCCTGTTCTCAGTGCTGAGGGCCCGGATTTGGCCCCTGGTCAAGGAACAAAGATCTCACAAGCTAAGAGGTGCAGCAGAAAAAAGAAAAAAAATACCAGAAATAATTCTTGATAAATGGAAAAATGTATTGACATGGATGCCAAGACTACACAAAGAAGGACGTTCTGTCTCAATAATGAATGGTGCTGTCGGCATAGGAAACAATAAACGAAACAAAAAGACAACCCACAGATTGGGAGAAAATATTTGCAAATGATGTGACTGATAAGGGATTAGTCTCCAAAATTTACAACAGCTTATGACACTTAATAGCATCAAAACAAATAACCCACTCAAAAAATGGGTGGCAGAAGACCTGAATAGATATTTCTTCTCTCTTATAGATGGCCAATAGGCACATGGAAAGATGTTCAAAATCGCTAGTTACAAGAGACATGCAAATCAAAACTACAATGAGATACCACCTCACACCAGTCAGAATGGCTACCATCAAAAAAATCTACAAACAACAAATGCTGGACAGGGTGTGGAGAGAAGGGAACCCTCCTGCACTGTTGGTGGGAATTTAAAATTGGTTCAGCCACTATGGAGAACAGTATGGAGATTCTTTAAAAAACTAAAAACAGAGCTACCATATGACCCTGCAATCCCACTCCTGGGCATATATCCAGAGAAAAACATGACCCCAAAAGATACATGTACCCCAATGTTCATTGCAGCACTGTTTACAATGGCCAAGACGTGGAAACAACCTAAATATCCACCGACAGAGGAATAGATAAAGAAGATGTGGTACAGATACACAATGGAATATTACTCAGCCATTAAAAAGAATGAAAGAAGGCCACTTGCAGCAACATGGACACACTCAGAGAGTGTCATACTGAGTGAAAGAGTCAAAGGGAGAAGGAGAAATATCATATGACATCCTTTATATGTGGAATCTAAAAAGAAACAATACAAATGAACATACTTGCAAAACAGAAAAAGACTCACAGACTTAGAAAAGGAACTCATGGTTGCCAGGGGGAAGGGATCGCTGGGGACCTTAGGAAGGTCATGTACACACTGCTACATTGTTAGTCGGCTATATCCCCAATACAAAATGTTTTTGGTGTTAAAAGAAAATTAAAAAAAAATAATAATGAATGGTGCTGACAATGTAGGTATCTTCTAGCAAAACAATGAAGCTGAAACGTTACCTGCTTTTTTCAAAGATAAAACCTACTTTTACCAAAAACTTCAGCGTATCACACAATACAACCCACAGAGTAGAAACACAACTTCTGAGTGATGGAGGTGATAAAAATGATTGAAAGAATTTCCAACTATCAGAAATTTAAGTTGTTTTCATAGAGTAAATTTGATAATGCAATAAAGCACCATCACTGAAGTCTATTTCTGAATTGTCATTCTACTCTCAATCATTAAGCTTTTGAAGAAAGTGACTCATTCATTTACATTCAGTGGTGTTAGAAAAAAATCAGAACAAATTTCCCCTTACTGAACTGATTTCCAGATTTTACCAGATGTTGTGCACATAATACCTGACTTCCACATGCAGCTTCTTTACCCTGGTTGACAGCGAGCAGACAGAGCATCCAGATGGGCCCTAAACAGTCCCTGCTGCCCAACAGCACTGAGACCCTGTCTCCAACCCGTGCGTGAGAAGCCCTGCCCAGGACGGTGCCCAGGGGAGCCTCCTCACAAGGGCCAGGTCACCGGGTCATGGGGAGACAGGATCTAAGTGGAGACAACAGGCCCTGAGGGAAGGCTCCAGGTGAGTCTGCATGTGCAGGAGTCAGACAGGACACTCCAGAGTCAGACATAATTACTGAGTCCAGAGAAGGGCATTTCAGGAAGGACAGACTGAGAATCCACCGAGAATATGACCTTACCTGAGAAAGAGCCATGCCTGACTCCTCTTCTTTCCTCTTCAACTTCAGGGCTTCTTCCTCAGGCAACACAAGTTGTCAGAGGTCTATCATGAAAGGTGAAAACATGCTGTTTAATACTTAGAGTCAACACACCCCTTTCCTGCGCCATAATCCCATACACAGGGAAGCCCTCACCATGGGGAACAGACAGTCCCCTGTGGCCACTGTCTCAGGAGGGACTCAGGACAGTCAACTCCCGCAGAGTCCAACACGGGACTTCCCCGAACTTTCTCTCGGATCACACTCCCCTCCTGGTGAGGCCTCACGTACACAGCAGCAGGGGGCACCTCAGCTGACCCCACGATCCCCTTCAGGTCATACTCCAAGCCCTGGTCCATCCCCACTCAGGGCTGAGCACCCCCTCCTTAACCCAGATCTCAGCCCTCAGGACTGGGAGGGCTCAGGAGACCTGATGCTCACTGAGGGATCCAGACTGGAATCACCTGGGGCACCTTAAACATTATCAAGCTGTGGACCAACACAAACTAACTGAAAGGGAATCTCTGGTCAGAGGGTACAAAACNTTATCAAGCTGTGGACCAACACAAACTAACTGAAAGGGAATCTCTGGTCAGAGGGTACAAAACATGGGTATGCAAAATGCCTCATCAATGAAATGCGAAGTCTGGACTGAGCACCACTCAGAGGGGACAAGAGTCCTGATGCTCCGTGAGGGATACAGATTGAAATCACCTGGGGCACTGTTGCGGTCTTTTACAGACCGGGACCTAGGGACTGGAGTCGACGAAAAGAAAGAAAGAGAGGGAGAGTGCAATATCCCTCGGGTTACATGGAAAACCAATAAAGCCCATACACAGGACTTGTACCGCTCACGAAGGCTTGGGGCGTCCTCTAGACGAGGTCTTGAAAGCCCCGGCAAGAAAGTGAGCTCAGTAGGCTTCCATGCTCCGAAGTAGCCCGAGACAGAAAGAAGGACACGGGGGACCCAAGTCTCTAGTGGAACAAGGGTATTTTACTAGCAGAAATGCATGTTTATATATCTTCAGTAAAATGACTACTCAGCCATTAAAAAGAATGAAATTCCACCAGTTGCAACAAAATGGATAGTCTATTAAGTACAAGGTCGCTGAAGAGAGTCACTGAAGGGAATCCAAGCAGGTGCTCTTTCCATGATCTCAGTCCTGAGAACTGTGTGCAGCTCTACTCCTTACTGTATTCCAGGAACTGGTAAGGAACACAGCATCCCTGAGAAATCGCACACAAAGGAAGAAAATGCAACATACTGGATTCCTTAAAGTTGAAAGTCCCCTGACAGGGCACCTAAAATATACATTCACAAAATGTGCACAGGCCTTATAGATAGGAGTTTTGCAGTTCTCATCCTCACCTGTATGATTTGAGCAACTTTTGAATTTACTACATTCTAAAGCCACAAAAGCTACATCTGAAATTAATCAGCCACATTCAAAGACCTCAGCACCCATCTGGATCCAGTTCCCCCCCTACCTACACTCCTAGGTGTTTCCACTTCATTCTATCTGTTTTCCTATTTTATTTCTACTTCTGGGTCTCCTCTTTCCCCTGCTCTCCCACTGCTCCTACCCTATTTCTTCCTTCACACCTCTCCTGCCCTTGGCTGCAACCTGCAACCTGTTCCCTCCCTTGAGGCTCTCTCCCTCAAGCCTTCTTGATTGCCCTACATCTCTAAGTATTTCTGCCTCTTTCGTCCCCCACCTCTGCTCCCTCTTTGTCCTCCCTTTTCCTCGGCTCTCCTTGTCACCTTTTATACTGTCCTCTCCCAGGACCACGATGCTCTGAAGGCCACTGTCTCACATTTCATCCTATGGCAGACTCTTTGTGTGAAGGGCCTCACCACTGTTACCAGTCCCCCTACTGATGATCCACGGCCCCCCTCTCTCTCTGGTGCTCTCCAACCCCTGGAGATCCAGGTTTTTATTTATTTCTCTATTTGATTCATCTGCTCCTTTCAAGGCGTAATCGCTTTCCTTTTACAGTCTATTTACAAGTAACTCAGCCATCCTCTATGTTCCGATCTCTTCTCCTTCATTCTGTTGCCTCAAGTTTTTCCTATTTCTCTGTCCGGCTCTCTGACTCTGCGTCGCCTGATCGCCTGGCCCATGAATTTACAAGGATGGCGAGCGAGTAAGATGCCCGCCTACAGCAAGAGGCCATTTGCCATAGGGTAAAATTTGGCACCGAAGAACATTGGGTGTTACAGGGCTGGCCAAGGTCACCTCTCTCTACATGGGGTGAGAGGAAGGGCTGACGGGAAGGGGAGGTCTGCAGGGCAGAAGGACCGGTCTGAAGAGACGCGAGAACAGAGAGGCTGGCAGGGAGGGGATCTCAGGAGCGGGGCGGGCTCTCCGGAATCCCTGGACCGGGGAGAGGGAGAGGCCTCTAGGGGCCGAGAAGGCGAGGGCGAAGCTGCGGGGCGGCGGGAATCCATTTCGCGCCCGAGGAGTTTACTTGAGTGATGCGGAAAGAGGTATTAAACAGTCTTAGGCGGGAAAAGAATTGAAAGGCGGTGTCTACCTGGACTGAAGCCAAGGGAACGGACCAGCCTCAGCGAATTCAAACACAAAGGAAAACATACCCGACGAGTATCGGCGCCGTGTGACTCAGCTTGCAGGGGAAGGCCGGGTGCTGGGGTTTTAGGCCCATAGTAGCTCCGAGACCCTGACAGTGGAACAAGTGAGACCGCCAACCACTGATTTACCTTAAAAATCAGAAATTTACGCTCTACAGTGCGACCAGCACTCGGAGAACGTTTCCGGGTTAGACTGCGCACGCACGATGCTAGAGGCGGGACTTCCGGTTGCAGGTCATGGGTGGGGCGCCACTGGGAGGGGCGGGTCACGATGAACCCTGATCCACTCAGCAGCGCCTGGAGGCGGGGCAGGGGACCGTACTTTCTATTATCATGAAAACTCTCATTTTAAGATCCTGTGTGAAATAGGTTTAACACCTTGTATTCGTGTCTGAAAGTAGGATGTTTCCTCCTGATTAAGTTTAAAACGGTGTTAATAAAAAGCTGTTTTTGCCAGCAGGTTTCTCTCAGGTCCCTCTCCTGAGACTCAGGCGCTTTATTCAATGGTTAGGAACAGTGGTCTCCAAGTGGTTGCTGTGGGATGCTAGCTGGCTCCTGGAACTTTCCTGCAAGTAGAATCAATTTAGGCAGTTAAAGGAACGAAGAACTGGATTTGCCTCGATAATAAGAACTATTATGAGAAATACAAAATGCTCCCTGGGTAGAAGTCTACCCTACAGAACAGTGTTTCCTTTCTATTCCTCATTCAGTCAGGATGAATGAAGCTGAATGACAACACACGGTCAGTTCCAGGCACTCAGGGACTAATCCTGGAGTATGAGTTAAGGACTAAGCCGTGTGATAATTTCCGACNTTCATCAGCTATACTCCAATGCAAAATTAAAAGTTAAAAAAAAAAAAAAACCTGCTCTAAATTGCACTGTTCATTATTTTTTCTCCAAAGTGTTTTGCCTTTGAAAACTTTTCCTCCCAGTGTTATTGAGATGAACTTGACATATTGACATACATCACTGTATGAGATTTAGGTGTACAGCACAATGTTCTTTCATATATTGAAATAGTTATCATTAAGTTAGTAAGCATCCATCATCCCATATAAATTAAATAAAAAAAATATTTTTGTTTATGATACTGTCGACTTAAAAAAACGCACAAATCAAGAGTCGTGAGTTGCTTCATTTCAGGCAGAATGAGGACTACAGCCAAGGAAACAAGGACTCAGAAACAGCTCTGAAGAGGTAGAGGCAGAAAGTCTGTACAACCGTTGTTTTGGTGAAGCAGGACACAACTACTTAGAGAATCTCTTAATTTACTATAAGGGATGCTGCCAAACTGATAAATCATTCAATAATATAAAATTTTTTTAATTTACTGTTAAATTTTTGCACATTAATAGAAGTCAGAGTCTGAAATATACAGTTATGATGTTTTCANAACAAGGACTCAGAAACAGCTCTGAAGAGGTAGAGGCAGAAAGTCTGTACAACCGTTGTTTTGGTGAAGCAGGACACAACTACTTAGAGAATCTCTTAATTTACTATAAGGGATGCTGCCAAACTGATAAATCATTCAATAATATAAAATTTTTTAAATTTACTGTTAAAATTTTGCACATTAATAGAAGTCAGAGTCTGAAATATACAGTTATGATGTTTTCATTATGCCCATCTGAATAGTCTGGAACAGAGTGGAAAGAATAATGCAAGTATAAATTGAGTATTTAATCCTCAAATGGTATCCTGTTTGATTCCATATTTGAAAGAAATTACTACAGATTCTTTCAATCCTGAGAACCTAATGGCACATTGCTAGCTTTTCTACTTGTAAAGTTAGAGACAGGAAAAAAAAAGTGTTGGTGGAAGCAACAAGATTCATCGAAGGTTGACAAAGTAAATTTATTAATTACAATAGGAGGCATATGAAACACTTTAAATTACACAGCAGCAAATGTAACTGCAGCAGTTAAATGTGAATCATACTCATACAAGCAATATTCTAATGCATATGAATATATTTTCCTGTGAAGATAACTGCTCTCTTCAATCTCCAAAAATAACTCATTAAACATACAACAGTTATAATAACCATCCAATGGAAAAAATGAACAAGTTTCCCTCTGCATTATTTCTACCAGATAATCAGCCCCTAGCGACCTGTCACTTTTCCCCCATGAAGAGCCCAGTCCCTTAATGCCCTGCATGCTCTGTTCAAGGCCAGTAGGTGGAGGATTCTGTCCCATAACCCACTGTGAACTATCTACAGAAAGGCACCCTGAACGCAATGAGCATGATGAGTAATCATGCCCTATTTTTACATTATTATCTGCTGCTAAGCATAATTCACACACTATTGTATAATTCAGGGTCCTCATTTTTCCAGGTAACATGAAGCTGAAGGAACCACACCTAATGGAGTCTGCCCCTTCATCTTACTGACTCCTGTCCAGAGACCATCTTCAAAGGTCTATATTGAAGGTGTAAGATCAATAGACTTCAAACTTCATGTTGAATGGCATAAACTGTAATGTAGCCTTTTCAAGAAACTCAAAACAAATGAATATGTATACACAAGATAGGGCTTCCCTTGTAGCTCAGTTGGTAAAGAATCTGCCTGCAATGCAGGAGACCCGGGTTTGATTCCTGAGTCAGAAAGATCCCCTGCAGAAGGAAATGGCTACCCACTCCAATATTCCTGCCTGGAGAATTCCATGGACAGAGGAGTTCAGCGAGCTATAGTCCATGGAGTCGCAAGTCAAACATGACTTAGAGACAAAACAACCATCACACTGAAGATAATGGGCCATTTCCACGTATTTCCTTACTCTCATGTATACATTGTCATCAAGTTTTAACACGCTGTGACTTGTAATAATTCTGTAGTATGTAATATCTCAGATTAATATGGACCATAGTTGTCCTTATTTATTAGGGTTATTTATTCCTAGTATGTATTATTTGATGTGTGGTCTATTGTAAGAAGTGCTCAAAAAGTTACCCAAATTTATCACATATTTCCCAAATATGAATCTTATGATGTTCCCTGAGAATGCACAAACCATGGAGTCTTAACCACTGGACTGTCAGGTTAAGTCTCCTCATTGTATTGTGCCCTGAGTTTAGGGCACAACATAAAAGATTTGCAAAATTTATCCCTTTCTTTCATGTTTTGTCCACTGATTATTACCTAAATTCTGGTGAGATGTGAGCCCTGAGCATACATTTCTCACATTCATGATACTTGTGAGGATTCTTTCCAGAACAAATTCGTTTTCTAAAGGCCTGACTACACAAAGTACATCCACCTAGTTTCTATCCAGTATGAATTTTCTCATGAACTTTAAGATGTGAACACATGCTAAATGCACTGCCACATCACCGTATTTTCAAGGTCTCTCATCAGTATGGACCATCTCATGAGTTAGGCTTGAAAGGACACTGAAAAACTTTCATTACATTTATAAAGTCTCTCTCTAGTATGAGTAATCTGGTGGGTCATGAGGTATAAACTTTGACTAAACACACTGAGACAGTCATGACATTTGTAAGGTTTCCTTCCATTATGACATTAATGACATTCCTTCCATATGACACTTCCTTCCATTATGACATTTGTACGTTTCCTTCCGTTCCTTCCATATATGATGGTCAGACTGAATGCACAAAAGCTTTGCCAGACTTAAAGATACTTGTATGGTTTCTCTCCAGTAACAATTCTCCAAAGAACTGTAAGGTGTGAATTTTTAATTCTGAAGACTTTCCAACATATGATATTTATATGGTTTCTCTCATGTCTGGATTTTCTTATATGTAGTAAGGGCTGAGACTTGAGTAAAGGATTTTGCACACTCAATGTAGTTGGAAGGTTTCTTTACAAAATGTACTCTCTCATGACTTGTAAGGTGCGAATTTTGACGGGAGGCTTTGCCACAATCACTACATTTGAAAGGTTTCATTCCAGAATGAATTTGCTGATGACATGTAAGGCTTGATTTCTGAGTAAAGACCTGGCCACATTCATTACATTTGTTAGGTTTCTTTGCAGTATGAACTCTCTGGTGTCTTCCAAGAGTTGCACGTATAGTGAAAACTTTGCCACATTCATTACATTTGTAAGGTTTCTCTCCAGTATGAGTTCTCTGATGACTTGCAAGATGTGAATTTTTACTAAACCTCCTGTCACACTCATTACATTTATAGGGTTTATCTCCAGTATGAACCTTGTGATGAATTGCAAGGTTTTTATTTCGACTGAAGACCTTGCTACACATACCACATTCATATAACTTCTTTCCGGTATGAATTTTCTGATGTCTGATGAGGTTAGAGCAGTGATTAAAGATTTTTCCACACTCATTACACTGGTAAGGTTTCTCTCCAGTATGAACTCTATGATGCAATACAAGGGTTGCAAACAGACTAAAAGCTTTGCCACGCCCATTACATTTATAAGGTTTCTCCCCAGTATGAACTCTCCGATGAGTTGCAAGGCTTGGACTATTACTGAAGATTTTGTTGCAGAGATCACATTCACAGAACTTCTTTCCTGTATGAATTTTCTGATGCCTAATGAGGTTTGAGTAGTGATTAAAGGTTTTTCCACATTCATTACATTTGTAAGGTTTCTCTCCACTGTGAATTCTCCCATGATTTATAAGTCTTGAATTTTCACTAAAGACTTTGTCACATAAATCACATTTAAATATTTTCGCTCCTGTGTGGACTGTCTGATGTCTGGCGAGGTTTGAGCTATTGAGGAAGGTTTTGTTATACTTGCTACATTTGTAAGGTCTTTTGCTGTGTGCTTTCTGGTCCTGTGTCAGGACTGAGGAATGCGTAAAGTCACTTTCATGTGTGTTAGAAATACTGATTTGAACTCTAGGAGAAATTATATGAAGTGGTGAAAATGGGACACTATTGTTGATTTTCTTGTCAGGGTCATCAAATCCATTCATTTCCCTTTCACTTATTATGTGGAGTTCATCCTGAAAGTTTAAACCAAGCCAATTTTCAACAGGCTTGATTTTGACATCCCTTTGACAACAGCAATGTCTTCCATCGGTGAGATTTTTGTTATTGGTCACAGGCATTACTTTATCATTTCTTTCATCACATCTCTACTGAGACTCAAAGTCATTCATATTTTCCTGCATTTCCCTGAGGTTAAATATGTTTGATTTCAAGACTTTTGGGTCTTCTCAACAACACTGTTTGAAGTACTTTTCTTGTGTCACTGTTCGATTTTAGCTGTAACTGCTTAATCACATGTATGGGTGAGATATCTACAAGACATAAAGAACCACAATATCCTATTCATTAGAATGCATAAATAAATCTTTCATGTTGAGTATGTGTTACACCAAAAGTAATACTGATACTCAACAGAGTTATGAAAGTTCCTAACAATGATCTTAAAACTTTTAGAAACACTAAATGAACAGAATTCTTTACTAAATAACATATAATTCAAGTTAATTTTAAGGTAGCCTTGCTTTATAAACCCTATGTCAAAAACATTCACATTGGAAATCAGCTATCAGAGAAAGGGTATTTTTTCACCATGACCCCAAAGTACAGACCAATTAACATTAAACATACTGCTGTTCCATAACTGAGAAAAAAAAATTATATTACTGATATACTGTGTACTTACTATGGAAAAAATGCTAAAAAATGGATAATACACTGTAATGCTAAATAGTCCAAACAAGGTGAGCTAATAAATAATTTAATGGGCTGTTTAGAATTGAAAAATTAATACATGACAGAGAAAATAAAGAATATAATAAAACTACTTTTAAGAAAAAATATTTTTCTAAACATTTACTATAAAGCTATGTACCCATAAATAAAAGGCATTTTACAACATGAACAAATAATGCATGTCGGCCGTATTGCATAATACATGCCCAAAGACTATTGTCTGGATATCACAATTAAGAATTAACATAAAAAATATTGTCCAGATAGCAAACAACCAATAAATCGAGGATGCCCTACTTAGGCAATATCCTTCAAATTATTTATGTTATTTGCTCCAGGTGTATGTAATAAGGACTGAGCATTTTGTAAATTTTTAAACCAGGTTCAGACAAAATGGTGAGAAAAACTGCAAAAGAAAAGCACACAAAATATAATAAAGACAAAGGGATATCAACAACCTGCAACAGGGGCTTTCCTGGTGATGCAGTGGACAAGAATATGGCTGCCAATGCAGGGGGCACGAGTTCGATCCCTGGTTTGGGAAGAATCTACATGCCACAGAGCAACTAAGTTCCTGCGCCACAACTACTGGGCCCACGTACCACAATTACTGAAGCCAAGCACCTCGGGCCCGTGCTTCCCAATAAGAGAAGCCATGGCAATGAGAAGCCCGTGCACTGTAACAAAGAGAAGCCCCTTCTCTGCCAGCAGCTAACAAATAATTAGTTGGAGCCAGGGCAACCAATATTTAAGTTTTTAAAAAAGAAGATGGATGCATTTCTTCTGTACAGATACAAAGAAATCACATCAACAGTAGAGTAGGAAAAAGATTGTCATTTTGAAACTGAGAACCCCTATACTTGAGTTCTCTTGTTGAGTTTGATTAACCTGTTTACAGAATATGTTATTCTCTTTCTTTTTCACACCAGTTCCCCTTATGACTGAGGACAATCAAAATAGGGAGGTGGCTGAAACTGAGCAAGGCCCTGGGGGGCCCTGCCAGGTACACAGTTTCTGGTTCATAGAAAAAGGCTTAGTCACCTAGACTTTACCTGAGATCCAAAGAGGAGATTCAAGCAGTAACTATTAGGGAAGTGAGGGAAAACAGAGACAAAGGAAAAGCAAATCCAGCATAATCTTTTCCACAATGGATAGCTTAAACTGATACCTTGATTTACAACCCCTAACTGTGGCGTCAAACAGCTGGGTCCAAAAAGACTTAAAAATTGATGACACCCATGAGGTCAACTGAGAACTGAAATTCTTTTTTTTAATGATTATTTTAATATTTATTTTTGGTTTTATCGGATCTTACTTTGCAGTGTGTAGGCTCTCAATTTCTGGCTCTCTAGTTGCAGAGTGTGGCTTTGTTGCCTCCAGGCATGTGGGATCTTAGTTCCCCAACCAGGGATCGAACCCAAGTCTCCTGCGTTGGAAGGCAGATTCCCAAACACTGAACCACCAGGGAAGTCCCGAGAACTGAAATTTTTAACCACTGACTCTAAGTAAATAATGATATATCTCAGCTAATGCCTTTGCTCCCTCTTAGAAAGAAGGAATCACAAGATCGAGATTTAGGAACTTTCTTACAGGCACACACAGAATAATCCTAAAGAAACTCACAACATGCTGCCAAAGTCAGCAGCTGAGATCTTATGGAGAAGTTGGGATCACAGACACCCCACTCCCCTCTCTCTTTTAAAAATCTTACACCCTGGCCAGCCAGCAAGGTGAATTTGAGAGAGGCCTGGGTCTCCTATTTTCCTGCTTGGTCTGACCCTCAACTAATAAACCTTTCTCTGCTCCAGACTCCAAGGTTTCAGTTTGTTTGGTCTCACCGAGTGACAAACACATGTACTTGGGTTCAGCCTCATCAGGTCTGATGTTATGTTCTTTGTTAGAAGAAGGTACAAGATGGCTGGAAGCCAGGCTTCTACAGAGCATTTCCTCAGAGCCCTCATCAGACTCAATGGAAAAGACTGAAAGCTTTTCTGCTAAGATAAGGAACAAGGACACAGTCTCTCAATATTTCTAAAAACATATACCTGAAAGTTCCAGCAAGAATACATAGACATAAAAAGAGATAATAGGTCTCCTAAGAGCAAAGGAAGCGAAATTATCTATTGACAACTGGCATAATCTAATTATGTGCGTGTGAGTGAGCCCGTTAAGTCACTTAAGTCATGTCCAACTCTGTGTGACCCTATGGACTATAGTCTACCAGGCTCCTCTGTCCATGGGATTCTCCAGGCAAGAATACTGGAGTGGGTTGCCATGCCCTACTCCAGGAGACCTTCCCCTCCTGTCTCTTATGTCTCCTGCATTGGCAGGCTGATTCTTTACCACTAAACCCAATCTGATTATGTAGAAAATGCCAAAAAAAAAAAAAAAAAAAAANAAAAAAAAAAAAAAAAAAAAAAGACAAGACAATAAATGCTAAGATATCCCAAGCCCGTGGATTCGAAATCAACACTGTCAAGATGGCAATACTAGCCAAAGTGATCAACAGATTAAAAATAATCGCTAGTGAAATCCCAATAGCATTCATTTCTTAAAGAAACAGACAGATTTGTCCATGCTACTATTCTCAGTAGACAAACAATAGCAAAACAAGCTTGAAAAGAACAAAGTCGGCAGTTTGACACTTCAAGACTTACTCCAGTTTCCAGAGACCAGTGACACATGATAGAGCCAACAGGAAAAAAAAAAAACAACCCAAAAAACTCTTGTGTAAAGAATCTGCCAGCAATGTGGGAAACCTGGGTTCGATTCCTGGGTTGGGAAGATCCCCTGGAGGAGGGCACTGGCAACCCACTCCAGTATTCTTGCCTGTAGAATCCCCATGGACAGAGGAGCCTGGCCAGCCACAATCCATGAGGTCAGGAAGAGTTGGACAAGACTAAGGACTAAGCACAGTGCATATAGCCTACTGAAGTTCCACAGTGGTCTCAGGATCACTGTATTGGGGAAGGGCAGCCTTCTCCACAAAATAACTGTGTTACCCAGTAAACCCAGTTCACAGAGAGTCTACCAAAGGTTGTCTATAAACTACAGGAGGATTATCACAGCAAGGAAACTGGAAAAACCTTTAGTCTTTGCTGCTGCCAAGTCGCTTCAGTCGTGTCCGACTCCTAGCGATCCCATGGACTGCAGCCTACCAGGCTCCTCTGTCCATGGGATTTTCCAGGCAAGAGTACTGGAGTTGGTTGCCATTGTATGTCTACATAATTCAAAAGTGCATTTAAGAAGCAAAATTTTACAAACTTAGGAAAATAAAAAATCAGGAAGAGTACACATTCCCAGACTAGGCAATGCAGTACAAGAGCCAAAAATTTACAAGCTATGGTAGTCAGATACCTTACGACATTGAGAGGGAACCATCTGCTTGCCCCTCAGATGCCAAGTTAAGAGCCAGAAAGATTCATACATATCCCCCATGCAGAACTGGGGATCAAAAAGAGGATCTCTCTGTCCATCACCTTAGTTTTCTTAAGAAACAATAGAGAAGACCCAATCCATCTCCCTGATGCACACAACCCTGAAGGGCATGGCAGAAGCAGAGCGCAAGAAATGGCTGAGGGATCTAAATTAGGAGACGGGGATGGATACAGCTCCATAGAGACTCTGAGGTACCAGATGGAGTCAAATGACAGCCAATGTTTTCCCAATTTTTTTTTTAATCACAAATAATGCTTTTAATTAGCTAGTTTCTTAGAGTACTCACATAACAGAGACTGACAAATCCATGTTTGTTTAGTTGCTCATTTGTGTCCGACTCTTCTGCGACCTCATGGACTATAGCCCGGTAAGCTCCACTGTCCATGGGATTTCCCAGGTAAGAATACTGGAGTGGGTTTCCACCTCCTTCCCCATCCCATGCTTTGATTACATCTTCCAAGTAGAGCCACTCTGATCAAACTCAGAAGTTCAGCAGAGGTATCAGCTCTGATCCATATGGACTAAGAACTGGGCATCCGGGGGAATCAAGACCAGAAGACGAGATGAAGGGACAAGAGACCCTGATAACACAATCCCCATTATGCTCCTCAAAGTCAAGCAAAGACTGGTTCACAGGAGCCAGATGGTAACTGTTGTGGATCTTGACAAAGACCTTGCTTTCTCTCTGTAGGAACTGTGGCACCACTGGAGGGTGAAAGAAAACATCTTACATGATGAATGACATCAAATGATAAGTAGGGGAGAAGAAAAATTTCCTCTGAGAGTTTCCAATAAATACACTTTGGTTTTCCCAAAGAACTCTCTACTCTGACAAGAGGTTCCCAGAATCTATAAAGGCTGTGGCTTCCTCTCAGCCCTGAGAACATGTCTCTAATTCGTACTTTTGATACATTCCACCCATTTGGTTTTTTCCTACTTTCACACCAGTTATCACAGTCCTGGGCTCTTTCTCTAGCTCTAACATGGAGATAATGTTCAGATCAGAAATAGAAATTCCTGCTTTATCAAAAACAAAGAAACGTAAAGTGCTGTGTTTGTTCTTTGTTCACCTGAGTAATGAGGGCATGACAGCTGGGTCTGGAAAAATATTTCACAAATGCATCCGTTTGCCTCCTTCTATGTGCACAGGGGAGGGCTTCCCTGGTGGCTCAGTGGTAAAGAGTCCGCCTGCTAATGCAGGAGACATGGGTAGGATCCCTGGTCTGGAATGATGCCATAGGCTGAGCAGCAGCTAAGCCTGTCTGCCACAACTACTGAGCCTGTGCTCCAGAGCCTGCGAATGGCAACTACTGAAGCCCATGCACTGGAGCCCGAGCTCAGCAACAAGAGAAGCCACCACAACGAGAAGCCTGTGCCCCTCAACTAGAGAAAAGCCGGGCAGCAACAAAGACCCAGCACCACCAAAATTACAAATGCATAGGGAACAGTGTACTGTACATATCTAACACTCTTCCAAAAAGTACTGAATCAGAAGCAAAGGGTAGAAAGCAGGAAATCAGACATTTTTTAAAAGTGTGCCATTGGGCTTTATACATAATTAAGCTCTGGAACAACCTCGACCTCTGATGTAACATGAAACAGACATTATCATCTGAAAAGAGGGTCAGTTTAAACTCGTGATGCTCCATCATGTCTGAGTTCAAGAGGTCCACAGGGGAAAACGTACAACACAAAAGGGCAGGTCCCAACTTCTACACGGAAGTCATCCTCACACAGAGAGAGCAGGTTCCTGTAGGTCTCCACCATCACGTCCCTGTACAAGGCCCTCTGAGCAGGGTCCAGGCATTCCCACTCTTCTGGAGAGAAGTCAATGGCCACATCCTTGAAAGTCAACTGTTTCTGAAACAAAAAATTTTAGGGGATCACGGTGGTTGGAGAGGAAGCTCATACAGACTAGGAGTTTGGGATTAACATACACACGCTACTATTTATATATATAAAACAGATAAACAAGGGCCTACTGAATTGCCAAGGAACTATACTCACTATCTTGAAATAGCCTACAATGGAAAAGAATCTAAAAAAGAATACATATATAGCTGAGTCATTTTGCTGTGCACTTGAAATATACATACAGTTAAATCACTTTGCTGTATACTTGAAACTAATACAACACTGTCAATTAACTACACCTCAATAACAAAAAAATATTTACCCAAGTGGCCATGAGGATATTTCTCATCTTTTAAAAAATGAAAAGAAGAGTTAAGTGTAAAGACTGATTCTATTGAAGTAAATATTCTCAAAGATCCATGTTAAGGAGCAAATTAAATATCTCTAATTATAGTTTCTTATGATTGTTCTAACAGATTATGATACCCTTCAATTAATACAGATTTTTCATCTTTGTGGACAATTAGAAAACACACAGAAATAAAATCCAAAAATGGGTTGTCTATGGAGAAGCATTAAATATTATGTTCTAAACGCTTGAGTTGAGGACTTCCCTGGTGGTCCAGTGGCTAAGAATCTACCTGCCAATGCAGGGGACACGGGTTCGATCCCTGGTCCAGGAAGATCCCACATGTCAAGAAGCAACAAAGCCCGTGCGCCAGAAGTCTTGAGCCTGTGCTCGAGAGCCCATGCTCTGCAATAAGAGAAGCCACCATGGTGAAAAGCTCAAGCACTGCAATTAAAGAGGAGCCCCCATTCACCGAAACTAGAGAAAAGCACATGCAAAGCAATGAAGACCCAGTGCAGCCAAAAATAAACAAACACTGAGTGCTATTCAATATCTAGACGAGCTCCTGTATGAATGGTGGCTTTAGACATGATGAAGTCTACCGTGGTTTTAGAGAAAGGTCAAAACCTTCAATTATGATAATAATAAGAACAGCAATGACTAGAAGTATTTGAACACTTCCAGTATGTGAACATAACTCTAAATAAGTACTTTATAGGCATGAACTTGTTATCAACATATTAGGTCATTAGGGAAAGACCTGTTCCCATTTTACAGAGGAGAAATCTGTGTTAGAGACACCCTGAGGCTCCAGGTCAAGAAGTTAAGGAATAGCACAGCAAGCACCTGAACCTTTGAGGGTTGGGCTCTGGAACTGAAGCTAAAAAACAGAATAGCTTAGTTATAGAGCATTAAAAGTACATTGATAGGGACTTCCCCGGTGGTCCAGTGGCTAAGATTCTATTCTTGCAATGCAGGGGGCCTGGGTTCCATACCTGCTAGAGGACCGAGACCACATATGCGGCAACTAAGAGTTCACATGCTGCAACTAACACCCAGTGCAGCCAAATAAATCAATAAATATTTTTACAATTACACTGACAGAGGGCTCCCTGAGAAAACTTGAAAGAAGTTCAAAAAGAGTGGCATGAAAGGTCATTACATATGTGGACCCACACACACACACACATACACATAAAATGTTAGTAATTTTCCCACTAATGAAACCATTAATGCGATAGTGTAGGAAAAACTCAAGGCCAGGGAATATATTGAAGATATAATTTCAACTGTAAAAGATATATACTCTTGAAATCATGAGGAGTGATTGCAACTGACATCAAAAAACATTTTCTTAAAGGATTAAAAGGGAGTCCTATGAACAAAAAAACCCACAAATTACATAATCTATAAGATATGAGTAATTCTGTAGAAACATGAACCTACTAAGTTGGAAACATTAAGAAAAAAATTGAATAGAACTATAACTAGAGATTCCAGTTGTAATAAAAAAAATCTCAAAAACTCAGGAAAATGTGTCTATACTGCATAATTCTACCAAACATTTACAAAAAAGATTACCACTACTCCTGCTAATTGGACAGCATCACTGACTCGACGGGCATGAGTTTAAGTAAGCTCTAGGAGTTGGCGATGGACAGGGAAGCCTGGCATGCTGTAGTCCAAGAGGCCGCAAAGAGTCAGACATGACTGAGCGACTGAACTAAACTGAATCCTGCTAAATATCTTGCACAGAGTTAGAAGAAAACACTGCCAAACTCAATCAATGTGGCCAGCATGATTTTGATACCCAACCCAGAGAATATCTGACATCATGAGCAACTAGATTTTATTCCTATAAGGCAAGGATGACTCAAGGTACAAAAATCAATTAATGTGATACACCAACTTAACAGAATAAAACAAAAAAAAAAGCACACTATCATCTCAGTTGATGCAAAAAATTCCTGTGGAAAAATTCAACAATTTCCCCATATATAACACTCAACAAAAGAGAAACAGTAAACTACCTCAACATAATAAATCCTATACATCAAAGGAATACCCCTAACATCATACTCAAAGGTGAAAGAATGAAAGCTTTTCCTCTCAAATCAAGAAGAGGACAAGGATGTACACACTCCACACAACTGTTCAACAAACTACTGAATCTCCTAGCCAGAGCAATTAGACAAGAAAAAGAAATCAAAGTTATCCAAAATGAAAAATGATTAAAATTATCTTTTCTTCCTAGAAAACAAGGTCTTAACTGTACAAACCATAAATGCTGCTGGTGGTGTTTACTCACTCAGTCATGTCTATCTGACCCCGTGGACTGGAGCATGCCAGGATCCTCTGTCCAGGGATTTTTCCAGGCTAGAATACTGGAGTGTGTTGCCACATCCTTCTCTAAGGGATCTGCCTGACCCAGGGGTCGAACCTGTGTCTCCTGCATTGGCAAGTGGATTCCTGACCACTGACCACAAGGGAAGCCCACAAACGTAAGTAGTCCACTTATGGAAAACAGCATCTAGGATTCCATTCTAGGATTCAGTGGAATTGCTATCAAAGTTCCCATGGCAATTTTGGCAGAAATAGAAAAATGCTAAAATTCATAAAGAATCTCAAGCAAACTGTCAAAAGACTTGAAAAAGAAGAAGGATGGAGGTGTCCTTTTTCTATATTTCAAAACATATTATGAAGTAATCTAGGGGATTTCTCTGGCAGTCCAGTGGAAGGACTTTGCCTTCCAATGTAGAGGGATGCAGGTTTGATCCCTGGTCAAGGTATTAAGATCCCATATGCCTCGCAGCCAAAAACCAAAACATAAAACAGAAGCAGTATTGTTAACAAATTCAATAAAGACTTTAAAAACTGTCCACATCAAAAAATGAAAATGAAAAACAAACAAAAAACCCACCAAGTAATCCAGATGGTAGGGTACTTATATAAACATAAATATATAAAACAATGGAGCAAAAGTGAGTACTCAGAAATCATCCTTTGCATGTATGTAAAAGGTACTGAGGAGGGTGCTGAGACTACACAATGGAAAAAAGAGAGTCTCAATAACAAATGGTGCTAAAAACTGAGGTATCTACCAACAACACAATAAATCTAGAACTTAACCTGCATCAATCAGAGAAATTGGGATGTCAAAGGCACAATCAACAGAAAACCTCTAAGGTCATATAAAGTGATACAAAGAATCTCCAACTCTCATAGATTTTAGTTGATTTCATACTTTAAAATCAATGATGGGTCCATGGCTAATTCATTTCAATGTATGACAAAAACCACTGCAATGATGTAAAGTAATTAGCCTCCAACTAATAAAAATAAATGGAGGAAAAAATAAAATAAAATAAAATCAATGATGGAATATAACAACCTCTATCACTCATGTCTGTTTCTCAAGTATCCATTCCATTCACAATCATTAAGATTTTGAGGCCAGTGACGCACTCATTTACCTACAAATATATTATAAAAATCAGAACAAATTTTTCCTCACTTGTCTCTTTCAGAATTCAGCAGGCATTTGTGCATATTAACACTCAACCTCTGTGTGTAGCTTCTTTCATCCTGGTTGACAGAGAGCAGACAGTGCATCCAGATGGGCCCTAAGCAATCCCTGCTGCCCAACAGCACGGAGACCCCATCTCCAACCCGTGGGTGTGAAGCCCTGCCCAGGATGGCGCCCAGGGGAGCCTCCTCACAAGGGCCAGGTGACCGGGTCATGGGGAGACGGGATCGAAGTGGAGACGACAGGCCCTGAAGGAAGGCCCCGGGTGAGTGTGCACGTACAGGGGTCAGACAGGACACTCCAGAGTCAGACACCATTAGCGAGTCCAGAGAAGGGCATTTCAGGAAGGACAGACTGAGTATGACCTTACCTGAGAAAGAGCCATGCCTGACTCCTGTTCCTTCCTCTTTCTCATCTTCCGTGTGTTTTCCTCAGGCAACATGAGACTTTAGAGGTCAATCTTAAAAGTTAAAAACATGCTGTTTAAGGCTTAGAATGAACATACCCCCTTTCTGTGTCACAACCACAGAGGAGAAAGCTTACCATGTGGAATAGACAGTCCTCCGCTGCTCACTGTCACAGGAGAGACTCAGGGCAGTCAACTCCCACACAGAGACCAACACAGGGTTTCTCCCCACACTTTCCATCAGATCTCGCTCCCCTTCTGTGAGGCCTCATGTACACAGCAGCAGTGGGCACCCCAGCCGACTCCACGATCCCCTTCAGGTCACACACCAGGCCTTGGTCCATTCCTATGCAGAGCAGAGACCCTTCAGCTTCAGTCCACAGACCCATATCTAACAAGATATATCCCCTACTGAAAACATTCTGAAATCTTGAATGTGGTTTCTTAGAGGCCAGAAGGATAGAAGTTTACTTTCGTATTTTCCTGTAAGAAAGAAGGCTTATTTATTTTGAATAAAGAGTGATTATTTAATTTAAAAAAAATTCCGCAATCTTAATCTTAGCACTCATAAATTTCCTTCTGGGTGCAAGCAAACTTACAAACAATACAATAACAGAAAACATTCCAAGCCCTAATAACTGATGCTGGAGAGAAAAATACGTGAGAAGACACCCAAGAGCCCACTAGATTCCAAGTCACACCACTTTCACATTCAGGGACCCAAACCAAACACTGTCATCTCCAAAAATGACTACGGAAAGAGAGATGTCTCCAACAATGTACATGTCCCAGTGGGACATTTATTTATTTAAAAAAAAGAAAAAAGAATCAAGGACTTCCCTGGTGGTCCACTGGTTAAGAATTCACCTTAAAATGCAGGGGGCAGGGGTTTGATCCCTGGTCTGGGAGGACTCCACATCCCAAGGGGCAGCTAAGCCCGTGTACCACAACTACTGAGTCCACATGCCTAGAACCTGTGCTGGGCAACAAGAGAAACCACTGCAATCAGAAGACCAGGCCCTGCAACTAGACAGTAGCCCTCTTACCACAGCTAGACAATGCCTGTGCACAGCAAGGAAAAAATAAACTTTAAATAAAGTTCAGCACAGCCAAAAAATAAATTTGAAAAAAATTTTAAGAGTCAAAAAAGAAAAAGCAACTCCATTACGAAAAAACGAACACTTTGAATAAACGTTCCACTAAAAAGGCACTATGTAGAGACTGTCAGCAATTTCTTACCCCAGGTGTCCTCTCCCAGTCCCCTACCCCAGGGGCAACCCACAGTGAAGTGAATCAAGACCTTGGCTGAATAAGGATTGCAAATGGAAGTCATTTTCTCATATAAAAAACTACAAAATGAACAAACCTTGTAGACAGGAGTTTTGCAACTCTCACCCTCATTTATATCATTTAAAAACAAGTTTTAAATTTACTAAATTCCAAAGTCACATCAGGGTCTTGACTCTGATGCTGTGAAAGATTGAAGGTAGGAGGAGAAGGGGACAACAGAGGATGAGAGGGTTGGATGGCATCACTGACGAACGGACATGAGTTTGAGCCAGCTCCGGGAGATGGCAAAGGACAGGGAAGCCTGGCGTGCTGCAGTCCATGGGCTCTCCAAGAGTCAGACACGACTGAGCAACTGAACAAAAGTCACACATCAATATATCATAACTAAATCATCCATATCCAAACAGTTCACCATCTGTCTGGATCCAGTTTCCCCTCTACCTGCACTACCATGTGTTACCATCTCATTCCCTTTATTTAGCTCCCAATCTCTTTCTCTGTCCACCTCATTTTACTCCCCTCGGCTCTCCTGCTATTTCTCCCCTCCTCTCTACTTCCCTTACACCTGTCCTGCCCCACTTTGCAACTTGCTTCCCTTCTTGACCCTCCTTCTTCCCCCACCTCTGCTCCCCCTGTACCCTCTGGATCACACCTCATCTATTACAGTTAAATTCCCTTCCTCTCCACTCCCTGGCACCTTAGCTAGCGATGCTTCTTTCCTGCTCTCTCTCTACCTCTGCTCTTCTTGTCACCCTTTGTCCTCATTCCCTCCCACCAGTTAAGTTGCTCTGAAGGCCAAGTTTCCACCTTTTCTATCCACTATAGGACTCTGTGCAAAGGGCGGCACCACTGATGCCCGCTGTCCTATGGCTGATCCGGCAGCCTCTCCCCACATTCCCCATCTGGAGAGCAGCTTGTTAACTTACTTCTCTTATTTTATTCACCTGCTACTTTCAAGGCTAAATCTATTTCATTTTTTTAAAAAATCCCTTTGCATGTCCCTAAGCCATCCTCTATGTTTCCATCTGTTCTTCCTCATTCTTTTCTCCAACTCAGTTTTTCTATTCCTTTCTCAGCCCCTCTGTCTCTGCTTCTCCTGATCCTCTCTTCACCCCTATATTTAGAAATACAGCAACTAATAAGAGGGGCTGAGAGGGCGAGGCTGGGCGGGGGCAGGAACCCACCCCTGGCAGACAAGTACTTTACAGGGGAGGCGGGAAACAGTAGAAGGTTTTAAGCAGGAAAATGTTGGGTAGGCAAAAAAGCCAAGGGCAGCTGACAGGGACGGAGTAAAGGTACAATGTAGGTGATTAAACAGTGAATCTCACTAGAGGATTGTCAATAGACAAAATATGGGAGACTCCTATAAGTTAATGATTACACAAGAAAGCAGGTTTGCTTAACCACAAAACCAACCAGGCTTGCTTAACAACAAAATCATGCAATAGAAGCACAACACATTCCAACAAACAGTAAAACTGGTGGCATGAAACTCACATCCTGCCCAGTGAGCGCAGTAAATAAGGACACGCTCTGTGAACACATAAAAAGCAGTCATTTGTGAATCTGGCTTCACCTTGTAGGAACAAGAAAACTCCTCTGCTCAACCCAGAGGAGGAGCTGATGATGGAAGCATGATGTCTATTCAGAAAAGACAAGGAAGGTATTCTCTCCCTCATTTTTCCTTTGATTATAAAACTGGCGCAGTAAATTCTCAGGGGGGCATCCCCTCTCGCGCGCCCTTGTCAGCCTCACAAGCATCCTCGTCTAATAAATCACTTCTTACTATCTCTCTGTCTTTAGCTAATTTTTTTTTTTTTTTTTCTGAGCTGAGACATAAAAGAATGTGATACCGGAGCTCTTTGGAGCCCAGAAATGGCACCGAACAGTGTCACAGCGACTGGCCTCAGACAAATTCACAAACCGAAAGAGAAATGAGAGAGAGAGAGAATCCGCGACCAGTCCCGGCTATGTCTGAACTTACCGGGATGGGGACGGCAGTGGGGAGTTTAGATCCACAGTCACTCACAAGACCCTAAGAAGGAATTAAGATGGGCCTCGCAGCGCGGAATTTCACTAGAAAGGAGAAATTTACCCTTCCTTTTACAACCTTCACTCCTCGCGCTCCACTTTCAGGTCCTTTCAGAAAACGCCAGCGCCGGATCAGAAGCAGGACTTCCGGGGTCGGAGGCTGGGGGGAGCGCTTCCGGCGAAGGTCGGGACGGGGCGGGGCGAGGAGAGCGCTCCGGTCTGGTTCGCAGGAAAGAGGTCGGGGCAAGGGGCGGTCCGGAACGTGCTTTTCAATAAGCTGATAGTGCTTAGTAGAAGTTACGGCTGTAGCAGTTTTAAGGTAAAACAGCTTACAGCTCTGTGGGCCAGAAATAAAGTGCACAATAAATGTAATGTGCTTGAGGCATCCCCAAACCATATCGCCATCATCACTACTTTCCCCATCCCCGCCCCCATGTAAAACTGTCTTCCAAGAAACAGGTCCCTGGTGCCAAAAAGGTTGCTCTGTGCAACTGAATGAATCCATAGGGATGTCACTTATGTGAGGGACTTACAGGTTACACTTCCATGTGTGTAAGTTTTGGAAATGACTTCTATGCCTGGACAATTCATTGACTTGATGTGTGTAGTCACTGGTTTGTGTCGGACTCCGCGACCCCATGGACTCCTCTGTCCGTGTTCACAAGGCTCCTCTGTCCGTGGGGTACTCCAGGCAAGAATACTGAAGTGGATTGCCATTCCCTTCTTGAGGGGATCTCCTCCACCCAGGGATCTAACCCTGGTCTCCTGCATTACAGGCAGATTCTTTCCCGTCTGAGCTACAAGGAAAGCTTCATTGCCTTGATAGCTGGAGAATATGTAGACAAGAGTGCTACTGCTGTATTCACTATCCTATTTGCTCAAAAAGAACTGTCACCAGTCTCTTTCACTGAAACGTTGCCTTACAAGAACTCATAGGAGACAGACGTCATTCTGGTTTTGCCTTTGTAGGGAGAGTTTTATGCCCATGGATTGGAGGCAGAGCTAGAAAACAAGTGATCAGGAATCTTTCCTCGTTTCAAAGAAATTTCAGCTTCACAGCAATCATTTAACTCATTGGCAAAAGAACCTTTAGTGTCATCACATGGCCCTTTCCAGCTTAGCAAGGAGGCATCCGTTGCACTAGCAATCAACTGTTATGGCATATGGATAAATGCCTCTGTGGAAGTAGGGACCTCACTTCAAGAAAAGTAAAGAGCATGCATATTGGTTACAGCAAATTTTGTCTGACAACTCATGTCAGGCAACTCATGTCAGGGAGCTGGTGTGACATCGCGAGCCCAGTGGCCTGTGTACCACAGTGTACGCGCCCTGCAGCTGTGACCGGGGCCTACCCTGGCACTCCTGGGTGTGTGATTGGGGAAGTAGGTGTGGGACACGAGTGCACCCAGTTTTCTGTGTCAAAAGGCTGTGTCCTGACAACGCACTCTTTGGAGCTGTCGGAGCTGAGAATGAACGCAGGAAACTGCCTTTGCCTGGGGGAAGGTGAGGGGAGATTATGGAGATATCAGCTGAGACTTTACTTGCATAATTTGCATACAATAAAATGCACTTTTATCAAGTGTACCATACCAGTAGGATTTAGTATGTTTCCAATATTGTCCAACCACAATGTCATCATACATCAGTTCAGATCAGTTGCTCATTCGTGTCCAACTCTTTGGGACCCCATGAACTGAAGCACGCCAGGCTTCCCCCTAAATCAAAAACAAAACCCCTTTGTCAGCAGTTATTCTGCATTCTATCTGTAGCCACAAGCAAACATTACTCTACTTTCTGTCTCTATAGATATGGCTACCCTGGACATTTCACATAAATTAAGTCATATAATATGTGGCCTTGGACTTCCCTGGCTGTCTAGTAGTTAAGACTCCAGTTTCCACTGCCTGGGGAATGGGTTCCACACCGGGTCTGGGAACTAAGATCCCAAAATGCTGCACTGTGTGGCCAAAAAAAAGAAAGAAAAAAAGAAAGTCTTATTTCTCCCTTTTTTCACTTAACATAATGTTTTCATAGTGCCATCCATGTTGGAATTTTTATCAGTGCCTCATACGTTTCTACTGAGAAGTAGTAACATGCCACAGTTTCATTTACCTCGTCATCATTTGATGGAGTTTTGGGTTCTTTCCACATTTTGGCTATTATAAAAAATACTTCTATCAAAAATCTCTTACAAGATGTTTATGTAGGTAAATGGCTTCAAATGTCTTCGGGGTATTTGTAAAAGTGGAAATGCTGGGTGTGACACAGTGATGGGGAAGAATTGTGGATTTTGCTATTCAGAAGAGTAATGAACTACTTCCATGCAAAGCTATTTAGCAAAATTGGTCTCATGGCCTTGCCTTGATGCAAAGAGACTGAGAAATTAGGGGAGGACATACAGGTGCATGTTCAGTTCAGTGAAGTCGCTCAGTTGTTTCTGACTCTTTGCAACTCCATGGACTGTAGCAAGCCAGACCCATCACCAATTCCCGGAGTTTACTCAAACTCATCTCCATTGAGTTGGTGATGACATCCAACCATCTCATCCTCTGTTGTCCCCTTCTCCTCCCGCCTTCAATCCTTCCCTGCATCAGGGTCTTTTCAAATGAGTCAGTTCTTCACATTAGCTGGCCAAAGTATTGGAGTTTCAGCCTCAGCATCAGACCTTTTAATGAATACTCAGGACTGATTTCCTTTAGGATGGACTGCTTGGATCTCCTTGCAGTCCAAGGGATTCTCAAGAATCTTCTCCAACACCACAGTTCAAAAGCATCAATTCTTTGGCATTCAGCTTTCTTTATAGTCCAACTCTCACATCCATACATGACTACTGGAAAAACCATAGCCTTGACTAGACAGATTTTTGTTGGCATAGTAATGTCTCTGCTTTTTAATATGCTGTCTAGGTTGGTCATAACTTTTTTTCCAAGGAGCAAGAGGCTTTTAATTTCATGACAGCAGTCACCATCTGCAATGATTTGGGAACCCCCAAAAATAAAAGTCCATCATTGTTTCCAATGTTTCCCTATCTATTCACCATGAAATGATGGGACCAGATGCCATGATCTTAGTTTTCTGAATGTTGAGTTTTAAGCCAAATTTTTCACTCTCCTCTTTCACTTTCACCAAGACTCACTCTATTTCTTTTTCACTTTCTGCCATAAAGGTTGTGTCATCTGCATATCTGAGGTTATTGATATTTCTCCCGGCAATCTTGATTCCAGCTTGTGCTTCATCCAGTCCAGCATTTCTCATGATGTACTCTACATATAAGTTAAATAAGCAGGGTGACAATATACAGCCTTGGCTACTCCTTTCCCGATTTGGAACCAGTCTGTTGTTTCACGTCCAGTTCTAACTGTTGCTTTTGACCTGCATACAGATGTCTCAGGAGGCAGGTCAGGTGGTCTGGTATTCCCATCTCTTGAGTAATTTTCTACAGTTTGTTGTGATCCACATAGACAAAGGCTTTGGCACAGTCAATAAAGCAGAATTAGATGTTTTTCTGGAACTCTTTAGCATTTTCAGTGATCCAGCGGATGTTGGCAATTTGATCTCTGGTTCCTCTGCCTTTTCTAAATCCAACTTGAACATCTGGAAGTTCACAGATCACATCCTGTTGAAGCCTGGCTTGGAGAATTTTGAGCATGACTTTGCTAGTCTGTGAGAGGAATGTAATTCCACCCCAGTATTCTGGCCTGGAGAATTCCATGAACTTCTTATCACAGACAGAGCAGAAAGGAAATAAATCTATTAGTTGAAAAGCCCTGAGGTACTAATTTTAGCTTCTCATTTGCCTCATTGGGCAGAGTGGTCATGTGCACAAGGAATATTATACTCTCAAGATAAACATCAGAGAAAGTTGACAAATCTGTTCCTGACATCTTTTCCCATTACCTTTCTCTGTTTAGGTAGAAACATGAAATTCATAAATTCTCATTTCTTATTAAAATTATGGTGGTCGTTTAAGACAACTAGCTTATATTTGGAAAAAAACATGAGATTTTCGTTTCCATAAAAATTAGACAAAATCTAAAAATTAAAAGGGTTTTGCCTCTTAGCATTCACCCTTCTTAGTCATAAAAAAGTCATGTTGCTGCAAGAAACGTGAAGACTAAGTGCTCATGGTCATAGAAGTAGAAAGGACAGAGGACCCATCCCCCACCACCCAGTACATTCTGGACTTCCTTTTAAGTGAGAACGATAAACCTCCTACTTTATTTAGTGAAGTCACTCAGTCGTGTCTGACTCTTTGCGACCCCGTGGACTATAGCCTGCCAGGCTCCTCCGTCTATAGGATCTTCCAGGCAAGAATACTGGAATGGGTTGCCATTACCTTCCCAGAGGATCTTCCTGACCCAGGGATTGAACCCAGGTCTCCTGCACTGCAGGCAGACTTTTTACCATCTGAGCCACCAGGGAAGTCCCTAAAAAATTAATACTGGAGTGGGTAGCCTTTCCCTTCTCCAGGGGACCTTCCCAATCCAGGCCTCCTGCATTGCAGGCGGACTCTTCACCAGCTAAGCCACCCGGGAAGCCCTGGTTTTATTTTTTGATGGGAGTATAATGGAGAAATGGAGCCTTTCAGAACCAGAACTTAAAAAATTGTGGCTTGCGAAAGCTTCATGAAAACATACCTTTATTGATGAGTTGGATGTCGACCACACGTTGCCTAACAATCACAATGTGTGAACAAAGTAAAGCAGGAGAATGTATGATAAATGTTCAGAAAAATAGGTTGAAATGTTACTAGAGTGAGGAATCAGCTGCCACAAATATTACATGTTTCGGATTTTGTTGCTATGTTTTTGTTTGGTCATGCCTGAAGGGATCTTACTTCTCTGACCAGGGATCTGACCATCTAACCTACGCCCTCTGCATTGAAAGTGTGGATTCTTATCTACTGGACTGCCCCAGAAGTCCCAGATGTTATAGGTTTACTTGATGATTTGATATACTGACTTATGAGAACCTTCTTTGCAGTGATAGAGTGCACTCATTTATTCTGTCACTCTAGAGTGATTTCAACCATGGACCATCTATCAGGAAGCAAAATCAATGCACTTTCTTTATGTAGCTCATATTTTATATTGGTAGGTCACAATAATTGAATGCAATAAGATGGTGGGACTTCCCTGTGGTGGTCCAGTGGTTAAGACTCTGCACTTCCAATGCAGGGGACATAGCTTCCATTCTTTGTTGGGGAACTAAGATTGCCACATGCCTCAGAGGGGTCAAAAATAAACATTAAAAATTGTCTTAGAAAAAGGTAAGATGGTGATTTGTACCATGAAAGTGTATGGGTACAATGATGGAGTGAGAATGTGTTGTAATGTAAACAATTTGTTTATGAAATGCTGATATGATAAGGAGATATTTGAACAAAATCATTAATTAACTGAAAGTCATGAGTCAAAGGATGACATGGCCTGTGAAACCCATGAAAGTAAACAAAACAAAACAAAATAATTCTTACCTGGGTAGTGCTTTAAATCATTTTATAATTCTGGACTCCAGAATTCAAGAGAATAAATCTGTGTTGTTTTCAAGTAGTTTGTTTGTGGTAATTTGTTACAACACCAATAGGAAAGTTAATAAAATGGTGTATGTAGAAAATCAAAAGGATCTACAAAATATTCTAGGGAAGGTATGATTTTCAAGATGTCAGAACACAAAAACAATATACAAAATGCATTGAAATTTTGTTGTTGTTTAGTTGCTAATTTGCATTCAGCTCTTTGCAACCCCATGGACTGTAGACCCCCAGGCTCCTCTGTCCATGGGATTGTTGAGGCAAGAATACTGGATTGGGTTGTCATTTCTTTTTCCAGGGGATTTTTCCCACCCAGGGATCAAACCCAAGTCTCTTACACTTACTGCATTATTAGGCATATTCTTTACCACTAGTGCCACTTGGGAAGCCCCCAAATGCTAATATCTCTATGTAAACATCATGTCAATTGACTGCCATTTTTTCTATGGAAGAAACCTTCATGGATGAAACCTTCCACCAGTAGGGAATGTGGGAAAACCTACTTTGTAAGTAGATGTTTAATGACACATTGCCATCAAAATATTGAGGGTAGATATGAAGTTATCAGATGGTTGATAATCTACTTTTGCTTTCTTTAGGGTTTTATTAAAGAGAATATACCTCCCCACTAAATGCCCTCAGAAATACAGCAAAGTTAATATTCTTTAGATGAAATAAATCCCAGTGTCTTCTGAATACTGTATATTTTACAGGCTCTGTTCACCAGATCTGATAGAACCCTCAGCAATAGAACACAAAGATGTAAAATACATTACAGCTTAAGAAGAAAAGGTAAATATTAATTACTCTCAGAGTGAACATATAATGAACTTGATATTGCATTATATTTACTTATGATTTACTTAATTATATTATGATGTAAACTTTTCTCAAAAATATTTGAAGATAATTCAGTGTAAGTGTGGAACAGAATAATTATTTTACCAAATAAAGCAGTTCTCATCAAAAGAAAAAAAGATTCTCTTATTTCTACTTCTCTTTTTATCTTATCTATCTTAAACGATGGATGCTAGTTAAATATATTGTGGTAATCATTTCACAATATAGGGAAATCAGACTATTTTGCTGTATACCTTAAACTTATACAATCATGTATGTGATTACATGAAGAACTGTTTATATAGCTCTTATATGTCACTGTGGAGTTGGTTTTAAAGAGGCAAATAACTAAAAAACATTAGCAAAAAGAGAAATAATAAAATTTATAACAATTTTTGAAAACATATTGCTCTTTTTAAAGCCCTGGTTAATAATCTAAATTACCACTTCTCTTGGTTCTCCAGTATCAGATCCCAGATCTTGTCCTTCTCTCTGGAACTGAACAGAGTATTTAATTTGGCCTCTGCAGTGAAAGAGAGATAGAAGTAGAGAAGCTGTTCTGCAATATGAAATAGACCATACAACGTAGGGAGAGTTTTGTATTTCTCATTCTAGTGTGTAATACAGAGACAAGTTCAGTTCTTGTTTCCTTAAACTGCTGAAATTAATTCTAATTACACAAAATGTTTCTGCATCCAGCTACTGTCCTATGTCAACTACTCTGGGAGACCCACATTTCCAGAATCCTGAACTGTCTTTAGGCCTCATTGGCAGGGCAGGAGAGCAGCCTGCTGGCAAAAACAATTCCTTTTAACTTAAACCGTTTTCAACTTGTTTAAAGGGAACAAGTTGAAAGTTATGTTACTTTCGGACATAACTGGCCCACAGAAATGCAAACTTTACCTTAAAGTTGTTTCTGCAACTTCAAATAAGCCGGTAGGGACCTTGAGACCCACCCCCCTTTCCACCACCCGCTTTTCCGCCCTCGGGTGGCTCCGGCTCAAACCTGGTCTCACCGCCCACCGCCCTGTCTCTAGCGCCCCGCCCAGGCCCCGCCCAGGAAGCCCCGCCTCTTCGCTTCGCGCACGCGCAGTTCTCTGCAGACCCGGAAACGGAATGCTTGGGACGAAGGTCAGTCTGCAGAGCGTAAGTTTCTCTTCTCTAGCTTAAATCTTCTGTGCTTTGCGGTGCTTTGACTCCATCTTCAGGGTCTTGGAGTCACTGCGGTCTTTAAATTCCCTCTCACGCCCCCACTCACCATGTAAACCGAGACGTCAGTGTTAAAAGAGTTCCCAGACCGTTTCCCTTTGGGTTTTCGATGTTTCTGAGGTCAGTACCGAAGGCCTTGGCTTTTGTGCCTTCGGTCCACGTAGACACCACCTTTCGCCACATTTTCCTGCTTAAAACCCTTAACTATCTCTGCCTTCCGCCTCATGTAAAGTCTTCGTCCGCGAGGTGGATTCTCGCCCCCCAGCCTCGCCCTCTGCCCCTGGAGGCCGCGCCGGCCACCCCGCTGCCGGAGAGGCCGAGTCCTTTTCCCGGTGCTGGGATTCTGAAGAGCCCATCCGGTTCCTGAGACCCCCTAGCTCGCAGCCCCTCAGTCCTCGCGTCTCCTCAGACCCGTCCTTCTGCCCCGCAGGGCCCCCTCTCCTGGTCAGCCCTAACCCAGGGTAAGGGTGGTGACGTGGGCCATCTCTGTGACGCCCAGTGTTGTTCGGTCCAGAGATCCAAACGGTCTTTTTCAGTCCGCGGGCATCTTATTCAGTCGCCATCCTCGTAAATACAGGGGCGAGGAGAAGCAGACAGAGAGAGCGACTGAGACAGAAAAATTGAGAAGGATAAAGAATGAGGGAAAACCAGTGGGAACAGACAGGGACTTGTAAATAGTAAAGTGAAAGTGATTACTCCTTGAAGGTAGAAAGTGAATAAAAGAGAAGTTTAAAATGCCAGATCTCCAGGGATTGGATAGCGACATAGGGAGAGGGACTCTGGATCTACTGGTAGGAGGGTGGCAACAATGATGAGGCCCTTCACAGAGTCCGGGAGAGGATAAAAGGTGGAAACATAGCCTTCAGAGCATCATGGTGATTGGGAGAGAAGGAGAAGAAAAATATTGACTGCAAGAGCGAAGGGAGAGAGAGCCGGAAGGAAGCATCACCACCTGGGGTGCCCGAGAGTGGGGAGGAAGGGAGTGTAACATAGAAGGAGTGTAACTGAAGGGCACAGAAGGAGCAGAGAAAGGGGCAGAAATACACAAGAGATGTAGGGCAGTCAGAAAAGTTAGAGAGAAGGAGCATCAAGAGAGGGAATGATTTGCAGAGTGGAGTGAGACAGGTATGAGAACATAGGAGGGCAGAAACAGCAGGAAAGTAGAGGGAAACAAAAAGAGAAAGATATAGAAATAGGGAGACAGGATGACGATATGTGGAAACACATAGTGTAGGTAGACACGATTGTCACACTAAGTGAAGTAAATCAGACAGACACACATGATATCACTTACATGTGGAATCTAAAAAAAATGGTACAAATGAACTTATTTACAAAGCAGAACTAGATTCACAGATACTGAAAACAAACTTGTGGTTCCCAAACATGGAAGGAGGAGGAGGGATAAATTAGAAGTTTGGGATGAACAGATACACACTACTATATATAGAATAATTAAACAAGACCTACTGTATAGTGCAGGGAACTATGTTCAATATCTTAAAATAACCTCTAGTGGAAAATAATCTGAAAAAAATATATAGTGAAAAAAAGGATACCCTACACTATTTGATCTTCAAAGCTCTATCAAGCACTGAAAAAAAGTGTAGGAACTGACTTGTTGATCTCTCTGTAGGAGTTGACTGTTCTGAGTCCTTCCTGAGACAGTGTGCAGCAGAGGACTGTCTGTTCCACATGGTGAGGTCTTCCCAGTTTGGGGGGGGTGGGGGTGTGGGGGGAGGGCACAGGAAGGGGGTGTGTTGATTTTAAGCATTAAACTGCCTATTTTCACCTTTCAAGATTGACTTCTAAAGACTCAGTTAGACTGAGGAAGAAGCCTGGAAGAGCAAAGAAAAGGAGTCAGGAATGGCTATTTCTCAGGTAAGGTCATATTCTCAGTTGATTCCCAGTCTGTCTACCTTCTATTCTGTGGTCCTGGCACCACTGAAAATGCATTTTGCATATATGCAAAATCAATTCAGAGTATTCTTTTCTCTTGCACTGATTTATGTATCTGTGTTTATGCCAGTACCACACCATCTTGATTACTTTGTAATGTGTTTTGAAATCTATAAAGGTTCCTTCCTTTCTTCTTCTTTGGCAATTTGGGATTCTTGGAGATTCCATATGAATTTTAGTGTAATAACTTACATTCCTGCCAAAATTGCCATGCAATCCCTTTTGAGAGGGATTAGATTGAATCTGTAAAACACTTTGGGTAGTAAGTTCATTGTAAGAATATTTAGTCTTTCAATCCAAGAGTATAGGATGTCAGTTTATTTGTATCTCTTTATATATCTTTTAGCAAGTTTTAATAGTTTTCAGTATACAAGTTTTTCACCTCTTTCTTGGATTTATTATGAAGTGTTGTATCCTTATGGTGCTTTAGAAATAGGATTCTTTTTGAATTTTCTTTTGACATTGTTCATTGTGTATATGCTTCCCTGGTACTGCAGTTGGTAAAGGATCTTCCTGCAATGCGGGAGACCTGGGTTTTATCCTTGGATTGGGGTGATCCCCTGGAGAAGGAAATGGCAACCCACTCCAGTATTCTTGCCTAGGAAATCTCATGGACAGAGGAACCTAGTGGGTTATAGTCCATGGGATCATAAGACTCAGACACAACTGAGGGACTGAGCACACAGGCAGCTAAACCACCACCATTGTGTATAGAAATTTACCTGATTTTTGCACATGGACTTTTGTATCCTGCAACTTTTCTAGAGTTATTCTTTGATGTAGCAGTTTCCTTGTGGAATCTTTACTATTTTTACATATAAAAGTTGTCATCTATGAAAAAAGATAATTTTACTTTTTCCAATTTGGATAAGTTTGATTTCTTTTTCTTGTCTAATTTCTGTGATGAGGGCTTTCTGTACTTTGGTGGACAGTAGTGCAGAAGTATGTATCCTTGCCTTCTTCCTGATCTGAGAAGGAAAGCTTTCTAGTTCAATGTTTATATCTTTTTTTTTTTCTTAACTTTGACCAAGCCGAGCCACCTGTGGGATCTTAGTTTCCCTATGAGAGATTGAACCCAGAGCTATGGCAGTGAAATCACTGAATCCTAACCACTGGACCATCAGGGAACTCCTGTCTTTTCAATTAATTGTGTGTTTACATATGCGTGTGTGAGTGCATGGAAGTACACGTCCATGGTTTTGATAAAAACATATTTCAAACCTATCTTTACACTTGCAATTATATCTTAAATATAATCCTTGACCTCAAAAAAATTTTTTCCATTGTCATGTTAATGGTTTAAATAGCAATAAGATTACTAACATCGTATGTATGTTTGTGTATGAGCCCACATGTATGATGATCTTTAATGCTCTTCCATGTTGTTCACCTTCAGCTTCTTTCAGATTTTCTCAGAGAACCCTCTGTCAGTGTGCCTTTAATACTCTTTCTGTTATTCAACTGTGATTCTTTAGTTTCAATTCCAGAGGCCAGCCCTCTGAGTTCTGATATTACTGTTTAGTTTCATTACCTGAGTCAAGTGTCTCCAAGTGTGTCTGACACAGTATTCTCTGCTTTAAGATGGGAAGAAATCGTCTCTAATGAGCTGTTATGTTTATAGCAATTTCATACATGTAAAGAATTGATTTAGAATGGGATTTGGCCTATAGTAAGCATTCTAACACTTTGAGTCATTGCTCTTGTAATCGTCGTAATTGCAGATTTTGACCTTTCTGTAAAGCCACTGTGGACTTTGTAATCTCTGAAGATCCCACGGGTGCTGTAGCTCATCTAGATATTGACTGTCATATGGTGTATAAAACATAATAGGTAACATTTCTGAATAGACCACCTGTTATTGATTTTTATTTCTATGTTGTTTGTGTGTTGTCCAGAAAAAGTGAAAAATCTGCATTGTATGGAGGATATCATAATCTCTATGAAAAGGGATAAGAAATTAAAATTACGGATGCATAATTTGCTCCAGATACCTTTACCTGGATCTGTCAGAATACATACTTCAATTGAATGGATCCTTCCTCCTCTCTCCTCTTCTCATTTTGTGCAAAAATAAGAACTCTTTTCTTTTTTTTTTTTTTTCCATTTATTTTTATTAGTTGGAGGCTAATTACCTTACATCATTACAGTAGTTTTTGTCATACATTGAAATGAATCAGCCATGGATTTACATGCATTCCCCATCCCAGTCCCCCCCTCCCACCTCCCAAGAACTCTTTTCATGGCCCTTTGATGAGATGTTTTTGTTTCAGGAACAGTTGACCTTCAAGGATGTTGCTGTAGAATTCTCTCAGGAGGAGTGGGAATGCCTGGACCCTGCTCAGAGGGCCTTTTACATGGACGTGATGGTGGAGACCCTCAGGAACCTAATCTCTGTGGGTGAGGATGACTTCGCTTCAGAAATTGGAATCTGTCCTTGAGTATCATTGCATTTCCCTTCTGTGCCCCTTGGGATCCCCCTGTTTTGCTTGACTGATCTGAAATCCCTGTTGATTCAGACAAGAAAAGCTTCATGCTGTGGTATCATGGGTTTAAGCTTAGCTTTTCTGCAAATGATTAATCCATTTCATAATACATCAGGCATTGTTCCAGAGCATAAGTATTTATAAGGCTGAGGGCAAACTTTAAAAATATCAAATTCTCTTTTTTTCTGCCTGTATGCTTTTTGCTCTACTACCTCTTGGAAGAGAGCTCATTATCTGAATATTACACTGTTTCCTCTGCATTCACTAGGAGGCAAGTGGTGGACCAACTTGTGATAGAGTTCTTCAAACCCACGTTCAATGTCCTCACTCCTCACCTGAACAAAGAGCTGGGATGCTAGAAAAGCCCCAGCTCTTCATGTTTCATTCTTTTGAGAAGCAGAAATTTCTATTTCTGATCAGAATATTATTTCCATCTTGGAACAAGAGGAACACCTCTAGCCTGTGAAGAGTGACATGAAAAGAGCAAACCACCAAGAGGATAGGAATGTATCAAAAGTCTGAGCACAGGTCAGATCTCAGAAGGGCAGAGAGGAAGTGGCAGTATTACTGGTCTTTGGGTAACTCTACCCACGTGGGAGAGTTCTTTTCAGAAAACAGAAGTTTATTTATTGTGAATGCTGAGAGCACATTTTTCTTACTCCTGGGTCATCATTCTGTTCTTCACCATGTAGAATGTATTCTTTCACCCTCTGGTGGAGCACCACCAGAAACAAAAGCAAAGTCTTCATCGTGATCTACACACTGCCATCTGGTCCCTGTGAACTAGTTGTTGGTTGACTTTGAGCACCTCGAAGACGGTTGCTTTATAAGCGTCTTTTACCCCTTTCACTTCTCTCCCGGGACTTAATTTCATTGGATGCTCAGTTCTCAGTCTATATAAATAAGAGTTGATGCTTCCAGACTCACTCCCTGGGCTTTTCTCTCTTTCATCCCCATTTGTGTTCTTAAAAGATCTAGTCAGAAGATGGGAAGGCATTGGCTGCTTTTTGATTCCATGTGGCACCTTCATGGAGCTGTTGTCTCAAGCTCTCTCCCCTTGTTTAGATTTTGCAGCCATTTCTTCTGTTCTGATTTTTGCCACACACTTCAGGGATATGTGAAACTGGGAGGCAGATTGGGTCTTGTGTAATTTTTACATGGCAAAACTACAAAGACAGTGGATAAAGAGATCCTCTTTTTTAATTTCCTAGTTCCTCTTGGGGGAAATATGTGTATCTTTCAGGCTCTTGGTTTGGCATCTTGGGTTAACTGCATGGTTTCATCTCTTCACCAAATCTTGTATTTTTTCCACTCTTTCATCACTCTTCTATGGCTCTACCTAATCAGTATACTCTCCTGATTCCATATTCTTCTACATTTGCATGATTTTACCTTTTGAAACTTGAGGGATTTTGTGTCTGTGTGATTAAATAAACTTAATAAATAAATTAATTAACTTATTTTATTGGCTTTCATAGGCTCTGAGAGAAATATAAAAATAACAGCACATTCTTGCCTTCAAGTAGAAGAGTTTTAATCTTGACTGTGAAACTTGCTTTTGAAATATAGTCCTAGAGTTTATAATTTTATCCAGTTTCCTTACTGTGATAATCCACTTGTAGTAGACAGCTCTGGATGGACTCTTTGTGGGGTGGATTTGCTAACAGAAAGTTTTTGATGGAGAATGATTTTCCTTATGAGTTATAATATTTTCCTGCTATGTACTGAGTCACCACTTGAAGCTACTTAGTAGATTGGTCAGCATGTTGTAGGATAAGAGAAAGTATCATGAGGGCTTCACTTTCTCTGTTGTTTTTTTTGTCTTTTCCTGGCTTTGAGGACTGTCACAAAAGCCTGCCTCAAGAGCACAGTGTCAGTCTTGTTTCCAGATACCAATGACCATCTCCTATGAGCCAGAGGAGATGATGTAGGAGTTTATCCTGGGAAAACTTTATTCACGTTCTTCTCTTCCTGATGTTGGACCCCTGGACTGGAGGGTCTGATGTGGGGCTTCTGTGGGAGAAACTGTTTTATAATTATTCTCCAGTTTGTCTGTCACCCACACAAAGTATGAGATTTGATTGTATCATGGATCTGCCCCATCCCTTTCTTTATGGCTTTAGTTGTAGAAGATATTTTCTGGTAGGTTTTAGTCTTTGTCAGCGATGGTGGTTCTGCAGATTATTGTGATTTTGGTGCTTGGGAAAGAAAGTATGATGATTGTGCTCGTGAGAGGAAGTGAGCATAGGATACATCTGCTCCGCCATCTTGGCTGCTTTCTGGTACAATTATATTCACCTAGATATACAATCACTAGCTATGCTCCCACATATGCACATACCTTGTACTCCACTCATGCCATTTCTCATTGCTGACCTTTCTTCACATGGTACTTTTATGTGGATGGGAAGACTGTCATTTGCTCACATATTTAAATCATTATTTTCATCCCAGTTTCCCTAGCACTCCTTTGCTCATCACTCTACCTTCCATATAACTTGGTGTAAAAATGGTCCCTCTTTTCCTGTTGTACAACTTTCTCATGACATGGCCAAAATCACTATGTGCAGTTGTGAAGACTTAGAAAAACCACTTTCAGGAAGGATGGCTAAATAACATTATTAATTACAATGGCTGACTTCTTTTGTGTCTCCCTTGGAATATTCTTTTTAAACTCCTGGTATTTGTTTTAATATTTTGTAATCTGTACTGCTGGGGTGAGCAGTCATGCTTTAGAATATGTTGTTACTATTTGGAAGTTCCGGTTCAAATCCTGTGTCGCTCAGTACTTTCTGTATCAATGGTGGTCATGCATAGAAATCTGTGAGTCAAACCTGTGATTTGAAAACTTGTGTTGATTTACCTCATGCCTTTTAAACCTTTAAAAACAAGCCTTTTGAAACAAATTAGAGCTCTTTGATGGCTTAGACTCTTGCATGTTTTATAATCATGATTGAAAAGTTGCTTTTTAAAAACAAAATTATTTATGTATTTACTTTTGGGTGTGCAGGATGTTCATTGCTTCGTGTGCTTTTTCTCTAGTTGTGGAGGGCAGGGGCCACTCTTTAGCTGCTGTGTGTGGCCTTCTCATGTTGTGGCTTCTCCTGTTGTGGAGCAGGGCTCTAGGGCATGCAAGCTTTGGTAGTTGCAGCTTCCAAGCTCTAGAGCATAGGTTCACTAGATGTGGCACATGGACAAGTTGCTCTGAGGAATGTGGGATCTTCTGGATCAGGGGTAAAACCCACATCTGCATCGGCAGGCGGATTGTTCACCACTGAGCGATCAGGGAAGCCTGAAAAGTTACTTTCTATAAATAGTTATGTTAATATTCTGTCATGTTTATTATAATACCATTTTGCATCACATCTTGTATGCTTTTCATCTCCAGTTTGTGCTAATCAACATTGTGTCTGCCCCTAGTTGATAAATTTACAAATTGCTGTTTATTACATACCTTTTTAGAGCCAATGAACTGGAGAATTTTAAGTGTTCTGTGAAGGCTGGGAATGACTTTATTTATTTGCTGTTAGGTTACATAACTCTAGAATATTTTATTGGCTAATTCTTAATTGTAGTTAATATAATGCAAGCTTTGGTAGTTGCAGCTTCCAAGCTCTAGAGCATAGGTTCACTAGATGTGGCACATGGACAAGTTGCTCTGAGGAATGTGGGATCTTCTGGATCAGGGGTAAAACCCACATCTGCATCGGCAGGCGGATTGTTCACCACTGAGCGATCAGGGAAGCCTGAAAAGTTACTTTCTATAAATAGTTATGTTAATATTTTGTCATGTTTATTATAATACTATTTTGCATCACATCTTGTATGCTTTTCATCTCCAGTTTGTGCTAATCAACATTGTGTCTGACCCTAGTTGATAAATTTACAAATTGCTGTTTATTACATACCTTTTTAGAGCCAATGAACTGGAGAATTTTAAGTGTTCTGTGAAGGCTGGGAATGACTTTATTTATTTGCTGTTAGGTTACATAACTCTAGAATATTTTATTGGTTAATTCTTAATTGTAGTTAATATATGATGGTTTTTCAACTTTTATTATAGAGTACAACTGACATGTACCATTTGTTAATGTTGTAAAATGCATATTCTTTATGGATACATAGCTCTACAGCAGATATTCAGAAAAATTTTTTGTGAAAAATTGTGTTAATAAATTCTTCCATTTTTGTAGTGGTTTTTGCCATACATTGACATGAATCAGCCATGGATTTACATGTATTCCCCTTACCTCCCTCTCCACCCGATCCTTCTGGGTCTTCCCAGTGCACCAGCCCCGAGCACTTGTCTCATGTATCCAGCCTGGGCTGGTGATCTGTTTCATCCTTGATAATATGCATGTTTCGATGCTGTTCTCTCGGAACATCCCACCCTCACCTTCAGCCTCCAACTAATAAAAATAAATGGAAAAAAAAAATTCTTCCATTTTTATATGCTGTGTTTTGTAATTCCATACGACCAGTTATTTATTCATTAGATAAGTTTGTTTTGGATTATGTACATTACAGTGGATTGTGTGGTCTTTAGCATTTATTTGTAGGCCATAGAATACAGAATATATGTACAGTATAATATTTTTTGTCTCCTTATTAGCGAGACCATTGGTCTCCAAATATACCAAAGTGTAATTGACACCAGAGCATAATTGGTATATGCTTTGATGTCATAGGGACAAAATATTCTTTCTTTGAGAGTTAAGCTACATTTGTCTAGTGGGAATGTTTTTGTCACAGGGTGTTAGAAGTCAGTTGTTGTTGTTATTGTTCCGTCTCTAAGTTGTACTCTGACTCTTTGCAACCCTATGAACTGCAGCATGCCAGGCTTTCCTGTCCCTCACTATCTCTTGGAGTTTGCCCAAGTTCATGTCCATTGAGTCGGTGATGATATCCAACCATCTCACACTCTCACCTTACATATAATCATTCTTTCTTTAGTAAAGAGTCCTATTCCTTTAGTGTTCCTAAAATTTTTTTTTTTTATTAGTTGGGATGTTCCTAAAATTTTTGAGGTCATGATTCGGAAGTTTCATAACCTTATTGGTCATAAATAGTACTTTTGGTTTGTTTTATTTTATTTTGACCATGTTGTGTGACATCTTAGTTCCCTGACTGGGGATTGAAGCCATCCCCCTTGCAGTGGGAGCAGAGAGTCCTAACCACTGGACTGCCAGGCAGTTCCCTACTTTTGGTTTAATGTCATATATTCAACATTACACTTTTATTCATGAGTTGTAATGAATAATACACTTTATGGTTCTTTGTATCTTGTAGATATCTCTCATATACATGTGGTCAAGAAATTACAACCAACAGCAAGCAGTGATACAGGAGATGCATTCCAAACAGTGACATTGGAAAGACAAAAAAGCCCTGAAATGAAATATTTTTGCTTCACGGAAATCCAGGAAGATGACTCTGGGTGTCAGTGGAAGAAAAATGAAAGAAATTACAGAGGAATGCCTGTAATGTATAAGGAAAATGTAACTCACAGAAGAGATCGACAAGGTAGGTGGGATGCAGGAAAGAAGCCTATTAAAAATAGACTTGTGTTAAACTTTCAGGATGAACTGCATATATTTAAGAAAAATATTTACAAATGTCATGAATGTGGCAAATCCTTCAATTATGGCTCCTCCCTCAGTAGACACCTTCTAATCCATACAGGAGAGAAGTTATATAAATGTGGTATATGTGGCAATGTTTTTCGTCTAAAGTCACACCTTGTAAGTCATTGGACAACTCACACTCGTGCGAAAATTTACAAATGTGATGAGTGTGGTAAAACCTTTAATCATAGCTCCTCCCTCCGTAGACATCAGATAAGGCATACAGGAGAGAAAGTGTATAAATGTGATGTATGTAGCAAAGTCTGTAGTCAGAATTCCTCTCTTAAACGTCATCAAAGAATTCATACTGGAGAGAGACCTTACCGATGCAATGAGTGTGGCAAAACCTTTAATCGTGGCTCTCACCTCTCCACACATGAGGTAATCCATACAGGCATGAAATTATGTAAGTGTGATGTATGTGGCAAAGTCTTCAGTCAGAATTCATGCCTTAGAATTCATCGGAGAATTCACAATGGAGAGAAACCTTACAAATGTAATGAGTGTGGTAAGGTCTTCCGTCAAAATTCACATCTTGGAAGACATCAGAGAATTCATACTGGGGAGAAACCTTACAAATGTGATGAGTGTGGCAAGGTCTTTAATCAGTATTCAAATCTTGCAAGTCATCAAAGAATTCATACTGGAGAGAAACCTTATAACTGTAATGTGTGTGGCAAGGTCTTCAGTCAAAATTCAAATCTTGTAAGTCATCAGAGAATTCATACTGGTGAAAAACCCTACAAATGTAATGAGTGTGGCAAATTTTTTAATCAAAGAGCATACCTTACAAAGCATCAGAGAGTTCATATTGAAGAAAAGTCTTACAAATGTAATGAGTGTGGGAAGGTCTTCAGTCGAAATTCAAATCTTGAAAGTCATCAGAGAATTCATACTGGAGAGAAACCTTTCAAATGTAATGAGTGTGGCAGGTTGTTTTCTCAAAAGCCAAACCTTGGAAAGCATCAGAGAATTCACATGGGAGAGAAACCTTACAAATGTCATGAGTGTGGGGAGGTCTTTAGTCGAAATTCACTTTTTGCAGTTCATCAGAGAATACATAACATAGAGAAGGCTTTCAGCTGTAATGAACTTGAAATGCCTTTACTGAGTTCTAAACCTTCACTAAGTATCAGATAATTTATACATGAAAGAAACTATATATGTGTGACATATGTGGGAAGTCTTCATTCAAAACTTACAGCGTACAATTCACTGGAGATTTCATAGTAGGGAGCAGCTAAGCAGATGTCATGAATATGCCAAAGATTTTGTGCCTGCAAGCCTCATTTTCTATCAGATAATCTATAGTGGAGAGAAACCTTACAAATGTACTAAGTATCTCAAAGTCTTCAGTCCAAGTTCATACTTTGAGATCTGCCAGATACTTTATACTGGAGAGAAACCTTTCAAATATAATGAGTGTGGCAAATCCTTCAGTGTCAAGCCCAAGTTACCATCAGGTGACCCATCCTGGTGAGAGACTTTAATAATACAGTGGTACGACAAGGCTTTTAGAAGGTAGCCACATCTTAGGCTTCATTAGAAAATTCATTCCGGATAGAAACCAGATAAATGTATTTTATTGTGGTCAGGCCTTAAGAGGAGGAATTTATCAATTAACTCATTCTCAAGTTAATTAATTAGCTAATTCATTAATCAATTAACTCATTCTCGCAAATAATCTCATTGAGATTATCGAGTCAATTAATTAACTCATTCTCACAAATAATCTCATTTGTGAGATTATCTCACAAATGCCATGGATGTGAAATAATCTTACTGCTCAGGTAGGACAGTTTTTATTTGTGGGTGACGGACCACCTGGAGAACAGGGACTGAAAGTAGTAGGAGGTTTATCGTTCTCATCTAACAGGAAGTCCAGAGGCTGCCACGTGGGGTGTGATGGGGTCCTCTGCCTCTTCAACCTCCATGAGTACTTAATCCTCACCTTATAGTAACATGACTACTCTATGACTGAGAAGGCTGAAGGTTGAGGGCAAAAACCCTTCTCACTTTAAGGTTTTTGTATATTCTCCCTGGTATTTTCTCCCTGGGTCACATGCTTGTGACATGTCTAAGGACTCTGCATCAAGTTCCGGATTCTGAAGTTTTTGTTCTATAGCATTTTTCCTAAATCTCTTACAGTGTAAAGTTCCACAATTTGTTTTAAAGCATTGGTTAACTTTTTGCCGATGTTTGACAGATGTAAAGTTTAAATGGAGAAATTTTCTTTTGTACTATGAATATTTCATTGATGAGCACATGTGTGGGACAGGCCTGCCTTCATTGAGTTGCCTGGGTACCTTTGTCAAAAAGTAATTGGAAGTACACTTGACCCTTGAACAAGGCAGGGAGTTAGGGTTTAGTCTCCTGAACAGTTCTAAATCCATGTATAATTTAATGCTATCCCGCTATATCCATGATTCTGCATCCTCGGATTCAACCGACCTCAGATCCTGTAGTAGTGTTTATTAGAAAAAATGCCCATATAATTGAATCCACACAGCTGAAACCTGTGCTATTCAAGGGTTAATGTACGGTGTGGTGTCCTCAGCCGTGTCCAGCTCTTTGTGACCCCATGGACTATAGCCCACCAGGCTCCTCTGTCCGTGGGATTTCCCAGGTAAGGCTACTGGAGTGGGTTGCCATTTCCTCCTCCAGGGCATCTTCCCCACCCAGGGATTGAAACTGCGTCTCTTGGGTCTCCTGCATTGGCGGGTGGATTCTTTACCCCTGTGCCATCTGAAAAAAAACTGTAGTGATGGAGGGCTATTTCTTGTCTCCTCTTTGTGTCTCATTGGTCTTTGTGTCTGTCATTCCACAAATCCCACACAGTCTTGATTCCTGTCACTGTATTAGAAATCTTGAGATCATGTGGGGCGATTCCAACCACTTCAATGTTTTTCAGGTGTTTTAGCTCTTCTAGTTCTTTCACCTCTCTCTGTTATTTTTAGAATAATCTCATTTGAATCTACAAAAATCTTGATGGAAAATGCATTAAACCTGTTTGTCAGTTTGGGATATCTTAATATCACTTTGTTGTGTCTTCCAGTCAATTAATCTGGTATGTTTTATTAATAGTTCAGTGAATATCATGTTTCTTTCAGATGACCTAAATATGAGATTGTCTTTGATTTTGTTCCTTCCCATTGTAGGTTTTAAGCATAAAAATATTTTGTTAGATTTACACATTTTTCTTCTTTTTGAGCAACCATCGTATTCTATATTTAATTTCAGTTTCCATTTGTAAATTACATGGATATAAAATGACAATAGATTTTTGCAGGTTATGTCCTGACACCTTGCAAATTATACTTTTTTCTAGAAATTTGTATAGATTCTTTTGATTCTCTGTGCATTATTTCCTTAAATTTCCTGTTTCTACTGCTAAGTTATCACAAACTGAGAGACTTGAAGGAACACAAGTTTATTCTCTTATGGTTCTGGAAGTCAGATATGGAAAATGAGCCAAAGCCCTATGTTCCAGGATGCCAGAAGCCACTTAGATCCTTTGTTTCATGGGTCCCCATTTGTATGGCACACACTTTGAATTAATGAATGCTTTTATTCAGATGTCTTCTTGTTCTATGAGCATTTTCTGAACACATTATTTAATTTAGGGCACCCTGTCACTCCATCTTTATACATGTACACCTTAATAGTACTTAACACCATCATATATGATTTAATTATTGGTGACACTACCCTATAGAATATGCTCCTTGAAGGCAGGGTATTGATTTTGTTTCCTGCTAGATATCCAGTGATTGAAACCATTCTGAACTGACAGGTGTGTGAATGCATTTCATCAGTGCAAAGGGTTCTGTAATAGGTAGGCTTATAGAGCAGTAAGTCAAATGGTCTAATTTACATTGATTACAATGTAATCATATTGTATTTGTGGCATCAAATTCTTTACTCTGTTACACTACACCCAAGCATTTTGAATGTTTGTCATAAATTCTCAAAGTGTGATTTATTCACACATTGTGAATTTTCTCCAACATGTGCTAAACAGATCTAACTCATCAGTGAAGAAATGTCTTCATAAAACTTTTTAATCCACACATTTTTTTAAAATTTATTTTTATTTGGAGGATAATTGCTTTACAATGGTGTGTTGGTTTCTCCCATACAACAGTGTGAATCAGCCATAAGCTTACATATGTTCCCTCCTTTTTGAGCCTCCCTCCTACGCCCTACCCCATCCCACCCCTCCAAGTTGTCACAGAGCACTAGGTTTGAGCTCCATGTGTTATACAGCACCTTCCCATTAGCTGTCTGTTTCACTCGTGTCAATGTATATGTTTTAGTGCTACTCTCTCCACTCATTCCACTCTCTCCTTCCCCTGCTATAATACACATTTTCAATGTAGGATTCTTTCAGTAGTGCTCCATTCTATACCCATTACAAAAGAGTAATTGTTTCTCTGGTAGGATAGTTTTTATTTGTGGCTGAGAGGCCACTTGGCAAATAGTAACTGAAAGAAGTAGGTTTATCATTCTCACCAAACAGGAGGCTCCAGAAGATGCCATGTGGGATGTGATGAGTCCACTGAATGACCAAGAAGAGTGAAGGGTGAGAGGCAAAACACTCTTCAATTTTAGATTTTGTCTCATTTTCATGAAACAATAATCCTAGTCAGTACTTTCTGATATTATTAGCCATTTGCATTAAATGGCCACCATAATTTTAATAATAGATGTGAAATTTCTAATTTCATATTTCTCTCTTGAACAAAGAAAAACAAAGGGAGAAAACTGTTAGGAAGCAATTATATCAAAAGACTTTGTTCTTTATCCTGAGAGTATAATATTCCACATAACATGTGGTGACTCTGCTTCATGTTTGAAATGCCAAGCAAAACTTTTTAGAGCCCTTATGTTTTCTAAGTCATAGATTTATTTCCTTTCTGCTCTATCTGATTCTAAATACACTTAAATAATTCACCATTTTTTTTTTTTGGTGAGGTGGAGCGTTGTGCTATGTTATGTGGCTTTCAGGATCCTAGTTCTCTGACCTGGGATTGAACCTGCACTCTCAGCAGTTAAGTGCCAATTCCCAACCACTGGACTGCCAATTTTGATATAGTAATTCTGATTCTAGTATCAGGGTAAGGAATCAAAGAATCCATTTTGAAATGCTTTTTAACCATGTCTTCCTACCTGAATGTGAGAAATATACAGGAGGCTTGTAATTGGGAAATATTCTAACATCACTTCCAAATGTATTTTAAGATTAGACTCATATTAATTATATAGTAATGTAACTGCTATGGGGCTTCCCAGGTGTCTCAGTGGCAAAGAATTTGCCTGCCAATGCAGGAAACATAGGAGTACTGGGTCTCATGCATTGCAGGTAGGTATTAATTATTTTAATATTTAATTTTATTTATTTATTTGGCTTTGGTGGGTCTAAGTTGTGGCTTGTGGGGCCTAGTTCCCTGAGATTGAACCTGGGCCACCTGCATTGAGAATGTAGTGTCTTAGCCACTGGACCACCAGGGAAGTTTCAATCCTTCATTAATTTAGATATGAAAAGTGATACATTCAAAACAAAATAGTATCAAAAATGCAAAAACAGTGTGCATATTTGAATCCCTGTCAAGCACTCTCTACTCTTGTTCTTTTCATTGAATTAACTTCTGTAAGTCTGTCTGCAGTGTTCTGAAATAAAACTAATTTTCCATAATCTATGGTAGACAACAAAGTGCTTCCTTGGTGGCTCAGTGGTAAAGAATCCACCTGCCAATGCAGGAGATACGAGTTTAATCCCTGGGTCGGAAAGATTCCTGGAGAAGGAAATGGCAACTCACTCTAGTTCTTCGCTGGGAAATCCCATGGACAAAGGAGCCTGGTGGGCCTCAGTCCATGGGGTCACAGGAGTAGGACACGACTTAAGGGCTAAACCACCATCACCACCACCGTGCTAGATAACAGCTATTCCCTTTTAAAATGGAGAGAGGATCTTCTCTTGTGGTCCAGTGGTTAAGACTGTGCCTTTGAATGCCAGTAGTACAG